TTGTAGCGCTACTACTTATTTTGATGTGGGTGTATTATTTCCAAATTGCCTACTCTGAGATATTTCAATCGAACTTGGATTTATTCCCGTGTAGTGCACCACAAAATCAATTTCATGTACAAGAGATGTGTCTTTAAGAATTTGCAATAATACCATTAGCTCTGTTTTTAAGGTTTTGTTTTTGTATAGCTCTCTTGCATTGATGCTTACCTCTCTGTATAGTTGTTCTGTATTTGTACCTAAGTAGCCTCATAAGGTGTGTATTCCCAAATTTCAGTTCTCAATGATTGAGGCCTGTTTGTACATCCTGTTATACATCATAAATTGGCCCCTGGTTTATAAATCAACCACTGTCTGCGCCAAAATTTCCAAGACCCTGGGGTCACACATTATAAATTCAATGATTTATGGTATATTAGTACATGCCCATTTTTGGGGAGTATTGGTTGGTAATTTTATTTGCCCCAATTTTTTTTATTGGGTGTTTACTCAATGACCTATGGGTTTTTCTTGAGTTGCACACCTGCCTGTCTTGGTGTAATGCCGGCGTTGACAAATCTGAATTGGAGGTTGACACCGGCGTTAGATTGCATGACGGTTTGTTTGGCCTTCTGAGGCTATTCCCTTAGTTATATGTAAATAAAGGGCTGCCAAATGGGGCCTGGAAAATTTACCTTCAAGAAAACGTTTACCAAACTGGAAGCAGCCAAGATGTGGTTTACTCCCAATGTAACTTGTCTTATGATTACAACAAAAAACAAAGTAACAATTTATGCACAGTTACTGTGAAATGTGATTCTGTAACTTTAGCACTTCACTTGCAGAGTGAATGGCTGGTTCAGTCTCTAATTTCAATGCAAGTGTTGGAATCAGCATGAGAAATCAACACAAAGCTGAATTGAGGGTTAACACCAAGGTAAGAAAGCCTGATGGTTTGTTTGGGCCTCTGAGGTTATTTTTTTTAGTTATGTGTAGATGTACACATACATGGATGACCAAGACTTCTCATTGTCAAAATTTGCTACTTTGGAAGGAAGGGCTAAAGCTTATTTGCTGGTGAAAATTGACCAACCTCAAGTCTAGATTTCACTAGCAAACAAAGTTCATCCAGTCCCTCTAAATCAATCCATCTGGGAAATGGGAATTCCCCAATGGATGACTCTCTGTTGCAACCTAGAGCCCTCCAAGAATCTAATTTACACCCCTTAGATCTTAACTTTTGGCCTGCAAAATATTTTTTACAAGCCTTGTACTGTAGAAACTAGTCCCATGTGAGATGGTTGAAATTGCAATTGGGGTGTTAATTGAGGACTTGGGAGGGCTTGAAAAGTGCTCTAAATGGCAACAGGAAGTCCTCCAATGTTTGCATGCTCAACTTTGATTGGAAAACTTCCCGTTGGATCTGGGGCCCTCCTAGATTTTGATTTTGATCCAAAAAGTTTGCATTATTGCAGGGAAATCTAGCTTTTGAGGCTCTAAATCAAAACTGGGGGACCTGCAGATTCTGACGGGAAGTCCTTGATCTGAGACTGTTTTCAAAACATTTTGCTTGAAATCCTGCATCCCACTTCTTGAAATCCAGGTGTACATATTTACACTTTTTGGTGTTCTCTGCCATCTTGCTGATCCTTCCTCTATTTTCATTTATTTGTATCTCATACATACCAATCTTTATTGAGAATAAAACAGAAGAAAAAGGACATATTCATTTGGCAGGCATAGGTGATGATTATAGTGAGTGTTTGCTCAAGTCCTAACTTAACCAAGTCCCTCTGATTGGAGGGGGGCCTCCAAAGAACGGTCTTTTGCGCTAAGTTAACCCCGTGTGCTGAGTGTACAATAATTAGAAATATACATAATCTCAGGTTTCAATAACTCTCTGGTAGATAAAAAAAGTGTTCCTTTGGATTTATCTTATTATCAGAAGCATCAGTCCTTCTCAGGTTCCTGTTGGGGCAACAATCAAAGAATTTAAAATTTTGACTAGACAAGTGAATTTCAAAATTCAGGATGGTATTCATTTTAAGGACAGGGTAGGCAAATTTGGAAGAATAAAACATAAATGTAATGTTTCAGAAATGGATGGATTCTTGACCAAATTCAGAATGAATGGACAATTTACACAAACAGTGAATGTTTTTGGATGTTTGCAATAAGACCAGGTGGTTGTTTCTTTTATAATATTTTGTAGCTTGTATGATGATATAAAAAAATTGATAGTATGTAAAACTTTGAGACCAGTGCTTCTAGTAGATTTGGAGAGTGAAAATGACAAGGCTATGCTTGTCAAGTGCATGCTCAGAAACATAATGTATGGAAAGAAGGGATGACAATGACTAGAGGTGGCAGATCCTTTACACAGGCCAATTTTCTCTTAATAGCTCGAGTGATGATAATCAAAGATTTGATGATATGTAAAAGGTAGAGGCCAGTGTTTCTAGTTAAGTTGTAAATGTAAAATGACAAGGCTCGGCCCGTCGAGTGAATGCCCAGAAACAGAATATATGGAAGTAGGAGACCGAAAAGTTTGATAGAGACTAGAGTTGGCGAATCCTATACACAGGCCAAAAGGTCGAAATCTTATCTGCCGTTGACAGAACAACTCAAGCGCTTATGGATGAGTTCAGATTGTTGTAAGCGAGAGCCTGACATCATGCCTGCTCCACGTTCAGCTAATCCGAGACCTTGGTGGTTGGTACCGGAAACAGATCTTCTCTTCGAAGGTCCAAAGGCCTTGTCGAGGTCGATATTCTTCAATCGATTCATGTCAATCCTCTTGTTACGAAAGATAGCTGGCACCGGGCCGCACGACAATTCAAAAGTAGGCCGCTCGCCACTCCGACGTTCGCTTATTGACCGGAAAGATGCACCTCGTGGGCTGCTGAAAGAAGGTAGCCTGGATGGTAAACGAAGTTTGGATGGTGGAGTATTGTGGATGTCTAATCATTGGAGGTACAAAGTAATGGTTAGTGACTGCTTGTAAAGCTTGCTGGCTTGTCGACTTACTATCCTGAGTATTTAACTCCTTTTTGTCTTCACCTAAAATGGGGGAAGCGGCTGTAGAATGAAGAGAAAGTGTCAGTATTAGAACAGGAATGATGTGACCCAGTAGTGTGGGAGTGACTAACGAAATGGTGTGGCTGGTCGGTTGCTCAACATTGTGATGATGGTGATGATGCTTTTGAACGGTTGTTACTAGCTTGAAATGCAGAGAAATAGCTGTCGAGTAGCCAAGAGGAGGGATCACAAGTGATCAAGAGGAAGGGATGTAGATGTGGGGTAGAGGATGTGTGATGGCGATAAAGCTTACTATCTGGGGGAGAACAGGGACGTCTCTTATAGGAAACGGTTCAGGATGAAGGAGTACTTCCCGATTGACAACAACGAATGAGAATGTGCTTTGTGGACCAGGCATGAACAGAGACTAACTGGTCATATCTATAGATGGCTATAATCCTGGTCCATCATCCACCCAAGCCAAGCCAAAAGCTGTTAGGAGGTGTGGGTGGGCTGGTTGCTTGCTACGGTTCCAGTGCCACCACAGACCTCTGGGGAGGGGACAGACCGTCCGGTCTAGACTTCAACTGTTGTGACTGTCCCGGCTGGTTGCGCGCCTTCTTTAGGAGAAAAAGAGGCAGGCTTTGAGAATCGATGCATCGGCGTTGACATCGACACGTCTAATCCAGTTCAGACCGACACGGATCAAGTGTGGTTTTCAAAATTTCATGAATGATGAGGCCGATGGGGCCATCTTGCCAACTTGGGAAAGACGCACCTTTTTCCTAAACAATCACCAAGACCGGCGTACCTCTCATTCGAAAAAAAAAACCTGGATTTATGTATCCTTGCTCTCTTAGACTGGGTGTTCCGATGGTTTGTCGCACTTCAATTAGATTCGTATGTAAAAAAACTTGTGGTCTCAATAGCTCACTGCACAAATTGCTCAATCCTTACACCATTAGAGCGGGGTGCATAATTGGGGTTTCCCAGATAAATATGTGCAATTCCAGCAAGCCCCTTAAACACCTTCAATCGAGCTACACACATGATGTGGGTGATGATCAAGCATTTTGAAATCCATTGCACTGTGATGCTTCAGGAAAGCCCAATTTCTAAGCTAGGGGCCCAGTTGTGAAATCAGCACACACCGCAATGATACGTCAAGAATGACCCCTTTTTTGTAAGCAATTTCATTCGCCGGGCCGTTCGGTGGAAACGAGTGATACGGAACTATGTACATACCACAGCCCGGGCCGACGAAAGATCCGCTCACGTTTGTGCTGCGTGCGCGTGATGCACTGCGGCCGTTCGCCCTCTCGCACGGTGCACCTTTGACCCGTGACCGCAACCAGGGTGTCCACCACCAATACATATCCTCCAAAGAATCTGTCGCATATATCCAGAACATCGAAACAAAAATGGACGTACCTACTCCGAGAGTTTCTTCAAGCTTGCTCGGCCAATACGGTCAGTTAATCTAACCAAAATTTTCACTACTCTGTTGTCTGTTATCTAATTTGGGCTAGGAGAAAACGAGAGAAATGGATACTGATCTTGATTGAATCGGATGTTTTTTTGTTTTTTTTTTTGATGAACAGTCGGCCAAGTCGTCAGGATTTCAGGAAAAGTGATCAGCGTGCGTATGTCCAATGTTTGTGCGACCGTTGTTTGGAGAGATCGGTCGCGCTTTCATCCATCCATCTCGAAAACAATGCTCGATCACTTGGACTGACTCTCGTCGCTGGATTCTTAGCTATCTCCGGAGTTACTCATAGAATCATCGGATGGAGGACAAGTGACAGTAGGCGACTCAGCGGTCAGTATATTCCCTTCCCTTCCTCTGATCGCGCCCTCGTTTTGCTCTACCATCCTGTGTTCTTTGGGGATGATTTTACAGAGTCTGATGCTGTGCAATATCTTATGTATGTCTGTACGTGTGTTTGTTGATGCAGGCATGTGGGACTGAAATCACGGATGAATTCATCGAGTTGGTCGCCAAAGTGGAGACCGAGACCCGGGTGAAAGCCTTGGACTGTTCCAACCTTGGCGACAAGTATGGTCGGTGTCTCTTCCAATCATCTTGCACTGTAGATCCTCCCACTCAACCCCCCCTTCTCTTCCCTCCCTCCTTTGTGGACATCTCTCGGCTCTATTCAGATCTTAAACTCGCCCAGGCCGTCGTCGATATCATCCATAACCCCAACCTCAGATGTGAAAGAGCTCCTTGCTTTTAGGCATCAGTCCGCTCATATGGCATAGTTATTGGCATTTTCATCTTTCATGTAGAATTAGTTTTAAAATCAGCAAAATGGAAATATATAAAAAAATCTTGAATAGCTGTTTATCAAGGGTAACAGTGTAAGACGTCCTCAGGCAATTTGTATCCAACGCTTGTTGACAATATTCTCAGCAACACTAAAAGGCTTTGAATAGCAGTATCACTGTCCAGGATTCATTCAGTGCGATCAATACACACAACGCGCAATCAAGCTTGCACGCTAAAATAACGTCCAGTTGGTGGTTTTTATAACAATTTTTGGGTGGTATGTGTTGATTTGCATATTTACTTATATTTTTGTGTCAGAAGAGACAAGGAAAAACAAACCCAAGAAAAAGAAAAAACAAAAACAAAACAGTGATGAAACAACATAAACATATACTGGACAGCAACGACACATTTTTTTGTTAAAAAGCAACAAAAAGGAAAGAACAACAGCAAAAGGAAAGTTTTTTTTTTTTTTTTGAAAAAAAAATCAAGAAATGAAAGGTAAAGGAACGGGGAACGGAAAGGAAAGGAAGACACTGGATCTGACTTGAAGACGATAAAATGTTGAGAAAGATACACCTCAAAGATATGTAATGTAAATTCTTTTTTGGTTGTTGGGAAGAGAGAACAAGAACAAAAAAGAAGGAATAGCCATCTCTCAATGAAAAAAAGATACAAAAAAGACCTAACAAAACTCAGTTTTTTTTTCTTATTTGTGGAAATACATGCAGTGATCAAAATCTTTCTACTGAAGATCTTCTTTATTTTGTTTGAAGGATGATCAAGGATCAAGAAGGATTGATATAGAGAGCTAAAACGAGAGAGAGAGGGATACAAAAAAAAATGATCTTAATCTTGCCAATATCACCGACTCCCCTAGGAGTATCTTTTAAGGTTTTATCAGGGAGGAAGAGGAGAGCAGAAGCAGGAATGACTGGAAGAAGGAGAAAGTAAGAAAAAAAGAACGAGGAGAGAAAGAAAAAAAAAACGGGATAGAGAAGATGTTTTTGTTTATAGAGTCTGTTTGATATGACGAGCAGTAAGTGTTTTCGAGGGTTCAGAAGCAGGAGGGATGATTCTAGAGGAAGAAGAAGGACGAGAGATGCCAGAGACAAGGGTGTTTGAGGCGAAGGGAGAAGTCCGAGGTCTGTGGCCGAGGCTTGCGGGTTGCGGGAGAGCTGAACGAGAGGAGGGGGGTTCCAGGAGAGAGGAACGAGCTGACGAGCCGATGGAAGTGTATGGACGGGGCGCAGGGATGGTGCTAGTGGTGCCTGGTACGGGTAACGTCTTGCGAATCTTGGTCGGACTGCTCATCTTTGTGTTGGCTGTGGGAGGAGCTTGGGCGAGGAGGGAAGGTTTCTTCGGACTGGGATTATAGGTCGGACGGGGCGAGTTAAGGGTGATCGTTGAGAGCGAGGAGCGACTCTTCATGGTTTTGGGCGAGCCCGAGGCAAGGCCCGGCTTGACGAGCGCATTAGAGGGCTTGAGTTTGCTCCGGACGCCTGTCAGGCCGGTCGTGCTCGGCCTCGAGAGCTTAGAAGCCAGCGCGTTGACGGCTGGGGCTGAGGAAGAGGCAGGAAGACCGATGCCAATGTTCGAGGATCGTTTGGCACGGACAGGGACGACGGAGGTGGAGATGCAGCTCATGCGCGGCTTGCTCACCGGGTTCGTCGAAGTGATCTTGGACTCCTGCGGTTTCCCACCAGGGAAGGCTACGACGACCGGCGCGGACAACCGCTTGGCAGCCGTCGGTCGACGTTCACTGCTCGGCGGCGGCGGCGGCGGTTTGGTGGGTTTGGCCTGCCCGGAGATCGGTCGATTACTGCTAGCTTTCTCGCGTTGATGTCCTAGCGCTGGCGGGGGCGCAGACATCAACTCTGAAAACAGATCATCCTTCGTCACAGATCGGGTATCTTCTTGGCTCGATAACTTGATCGAGTCGATCTTCTTCTTCAATCGTGCCGTCTCCTCATCCAGGATTCCTCCTCGCTGGCCTAAGATTTGAGGGTCAACACTCGACATCGAATATCGCTTGGCCCTCGTTACGCCCGCCAATCTGGTCGTCGTCGGTGGTTTCTTCTGTTCTTTGGGTTGGCTGTTTTTCCATAGTTCCTCTCGATCTGTCGGTAAGGGTGGTAAATTGATCTTGGATGACTCGAACGTAGTTGAAAAATCCATGGATCCTCTTAGGTTCGGTGGCGCCTGTTCGTCCGTCCTGTAAGAATACCCAAGCGAGAAAGACAACACAAAAGGAAATCAGTATTCTGAGTGAGGAATCTGGGACTAGAAAAAAAAATGGCCCACAAAGCCAAATTATCAGATGGACAACTCTTTTTATCCTCGAGCTGTCTAGCCAAACCCGAAACATCAACAGATTCTTCTTCTTCAGGTACCATGAGACATTCAGAGCCTCTGGTGGCGTTAAGTTTAGCAAAGACTGAACCGGGTCGAAGTTTAGCCAAGTTTTTCTTGCCCAAGAGTTCCATCATGGCCACATGATTCAAGTCGATCGATAGTTCTGTTGAGCGTTCCTTGTTATTATCTCCTCCGTTCCATGTGGTTTCGTTTCCGACGAGGAAACCACCACTCTCATCTAAGATATTCGAGAGGTTATCGGGCGTGTTGAAGATTAAACTGTTTGAGACTGAACGTGTTCGTTGTAGTGGATCCCGCGAGACTTGGTGGCAGGTATTGGTCGAGGCACTCTTCCGATGGGCTCTTGCGTTCATCAGATAAGATGATGGGGGTAAGGAGGGTGGAGAGGGTGATGGGGAGGTTGAGTGTCTGGGTAAGATGGGCTCGATACCAAGGTCGATTGGTTCGGGAATGATAAACTTGGGGGTATGGTGGTGTCGACGAGCGGTTGAGGAAGAAGAAGATGAGGGTGGTGGTGGCAGAGTGTTTTTCTGAGGGGAAGGAGATTGTGGTGATTGGAGGATCGGTTTAGGACGCGTCATCGGCGGCTCGTCCTTCTGAAACTCGTGAATGATTTCTCGTCCACGACAGTTCCCATGTTCATCCACCCAGCTGACTTCATTCCCATCGCTCTCGTCGTCCCCAGTTGGACCAGATAGAGCCCTAGGGCTAAAGAAACGAGCTCGAGTACCTTTGGACGGACTGTTGGGTCGTTTGAGTATAGATTTCGTAGTTTTAGGTTGGTGTTGTTGTTGAATTTCGTCGGATGGGATGGATGATAATTCAGTCTGATCTGTCTCTTCCCAGTGGTGGATGGCTGTAGTGGATTTGGAGCGTGTGATCGGGGGTCGAGGGGTGTGATGATGGTTTTGTTCGTAGAGACCAAGTAGGTCGACTGAATGGGTTCGAGTGATGTTACTACTGCTGCTGGCCTGCGCGCTCTTGGGTCTAGCTGGAATAAATGGGTTTGATGGTTCGTCGCGAGTGAGTTCAGACGATAGGATTTTGTTTGTATTTTTCGGTGAGGTAGGAGGAGTCCAGCTGAGACGAGGAGGGACTTTGGGACTGAAGAGGAGATGGATATTCTTTCGAGATGACTGAGAAAGGGCCAGGATGAGTTAAAATCAGGTGTTGGAGGGAGAGATGAGGAGATAAGTAGACTGACTGGAGTGGATGGGCTGAGTGCTTTTGGTAGGAGATCGTAGGATGAGATGGAATGGTCCATGAGGTCTGAATACTTCTTGGCTGGGGATGATCGAGTAGTCTTTGGTTGATCGGTTGTTGGTGAGGTTCGTTTGGGTGTCTTGAGGTCGATTAGTGAGGATGTATCGTATCGGTTTGAGAGTGGTGGTGAGCTTGTTTCGATGGTAGTGTTGCTGTTGTTGATGGTGATCTGATCGATTGGAGTTAGGAATGAGCTGCCTGAGACTGCGAATAGGTCTGAGTATTCCTGGGTGGCTCGGTTGGATAGATCTGGTAGGATCGATGGTTCTTGAGTCATCTTTTCTGTGTTCTTCGTATTCATGAAATGGTTTGTTTGAGTGTTTGATGGTTTATGTAGTGTGGTTGGTTGGTGGGTGGGTTTTCGCTGTTGACCATCAACATGCACTGTCTCCCACTGGTGAGGGGACTGAGTGGGTCACTCTACTCAGAACTGGAGTATCCACAGAGCGGGAGAGCCTCGCGCAGGAGATGAAGAGATCACAACTGGCCTTCAAATGTGAATTGGGCCTGAAGAAATCTTATAAGGTCAAGATCCAACAAAAGTTCAAGAAGTGATCAAGTTATATTGATCTTTGAAAACTTTTCATCTGCATTATGTTGTGTTTCTAACAATGCCTGATCTAAGAAGGGATAAATGTGGCAGATTATGTCAATTAAGTAAGTGCCTGTACCATATGCCATCAAAATTCAATTTTTCACAATTTAGCAGATTTTATCTTCCTCAAATTATCATATAATCAATGGTGACCATCACCAAAGGCCATTCATAAGCCCAAAACTGAAGAATTTCAACTCTAGATCTGTGCCCTTGTGTTCATCTGTTGTGTAGAAGACAGAAAAAATGACCATTCTTCAAAATTCAATCCTATGGTACAGGCCCTAAAAACTTACTCAAGTAACTTTGAACACCTGCACGGATGATTCACAAATGATGGGATGACCAACTTACATGCTTATAAAGCCCTGTGTGGAAGTTTCCTAAATATAAGGGCCTGTACCATAGCACCCCAGCCAATTTTCATTTTCATTATTGATCTGTTGATTCTTTGCCAACCAAAATTCATTTTGGGGTTGACACTGAAAATACAGCTTAATGTATGTACTGTGGGAAGTTTCAAGTACACCATTTCTGTGGGGTTAATTTACTACTACAAAATTGGGGCTGTGGTACAGGCCCTTACATTCTTATGAGGCCTGGTTTGGTGGACTGTAAGCCCTGCTCCTCATGACTTACACAAACATGTCACTAGATTACATAAGCTCAGTTCTGCCTTGTATTTAGTCCCGCACTTCCCTTTCACCTAGACAGCAGAGATCTTTCTCTCCTGTCTAGGTAAGTACCCTGCCTTCCTTCCTTCTCTTCTCATTTCCTTTTCTCACTCTCCATCATTTGTAGATACTAACTGAGAGATCTTTCTCTCCTGTCTAGACTGAAATAAAAGACACGTTGGTACTAGAATCTTCTCCGTGGACGCTATTGAGCTCCTTTTCTGGTGCCTCTCTGACAGACAGTGAAGGACTCGACGGAGTCCTTACATGGACATGGCAGAATTTCCCTGCAATACATACACTAGATTTTAGCAGAATTCCTCCATGTTATGTCACACTAACAGTACCATTAGCGTAACTGACCCATTGCTGAACATAGTCGTCCACACCACATGGCCAGACTTTTAGCATAGTTTTTTCCTGCTTAAGACAAGTGTTTTGTTTTTGGATGTAGCCACCTAACACCATATAACTTCCCCAACCAATTTTCCATACCAGCATAGATTTCCCACAGTAGTAGTTAAAGTGAGTGACTTCAATTTTGCATTTTGATTATAATTGTTTCAATAAAATCTCTTCATGTATGGATACAGTTTAGCTTGTGGTGTGGAGTATATGGCAGGTTTTTTGTGCAACAGTCTAGACCACCAAAGCAACACCCATGAAAAACCCCATTTTAGGGGATTTTGGGTATAGAAACCCAGCTAAAACCAGTAAAAATAAAATCCTTTTTTTGGCTCCTGAACAGACATATGAGAATACCCTTTTACAGTTACTGGTTTCCCCTGGACATGTGTTTTTCAAAGAAAGGCTTTCTTGCAGGTGGGGGGAGGGTCCTGAAACATCCAGGTGCACTCAGCCAGAGGGTATATTGCATATATAATATCTAATTCCTTTTATTATTACAAAACCATAGGCCAACTCCCAAGTCTGGCCACCTTTTTGGAGGAACGACTCCCAAGTCCATCCGTCTGTTTGGAGGAGCAACTCCCAACAGAGGTCTGGCAATGGTCTTTGGGAGTTGCTGGAAAATCCTTTGTATTTGTTTAACCAAATCCCTTAATTTATTAATATAATTTGGCCACTTTATCTTCTTCAATTTTATGTCCAAAATACCTTCCTTTCTCTTGTAATTTATTCCATAAAATCCAAACTAGATTTTTTATAAATTCTTATTTTTGCATCACATAGGCTGAAAAGATCAAAGGTCTTATTCAAGGATTGTCAAAGAGTCAATAGGGAGGAAGCACACAATCTATTGGTGCAGTAGTTGATAGGAGGGTGAGTGCTAAGTGTTGAAAGGACACATGATGAAGAACCTGAATTTCACACTGGTAGTACTGTGACACTTGGGAGTGAGAATGTTATGGTTCTGATTCACTGAGGGAGAAAAACACCAGAGGCAATCTAGTAGTGTACAGAATATATACAAGATATTAGGAACAACATGATATACACCCTTCAGGTGCAATTAGATTTATTAAGTCTCTGTGGGAAATTATACCCCTGAAGCAATATTATGTGAAGATTAATCAATGCAAAATGATTGGTACTCATGGAGATTATCATATGGCAATTTTGGAAAAAATGGATCAATTTAAGATCATCCCTGCAGAGGTAAGCCTTTATCTTTGAATTTAATAGTATTAGTGATCACATGTTCCCTATTGATTTTAATATTTCCTTGCCATAAGCAAATCACCATTTGCCTCAATGTTCAGCATGATTGTGCAAGTGGGAACTGCCAAAAAGTTGAATCTTCCATTCCTCAAAGAACAAGACAAGAAGGTTCATGATTCATCTGTGTCACACTTGATTCTCCATTCTAGTCATAACAGCTACATAACCAATGGGTTTTCAAATCATTCACCCACATACCCCAGATACATTTCTGGTCTATATACTTATCCCATCTCAGAACTAATTCTGGAAGATGGACTGAGAGAGGGTCTTGATGTGTGGGATTAAGAAACCAACTTCACCCAACATCAAACTTCAAAGCCATCCCTATTTGTGGCAAATGCAATTACCCCAGACATCCAACATTGCATTAACATCTTTCAACCCTATATAGGGGGCAGCTATAGAAAAATTATTGTAACCTTCATTTTTTCTCTATGCAGAAATTGTTGACCAGTGTTAATTACCCCAGACATCCAACATTGCATCAACATCTTTAAACCCTAAATAGGGGGCAGCTATGGAAAATTATTTTAACTTTCATTTTTTCTATGCAGAAACTGTTGACCATTGTTTCATAGCAGACATGAGCTAGTTTCTTCCATTTTTTTTCTTGCATGGCAAATTTCCATGCAAGATGTCAGGTATGAATTGCTCTTGTAAACCACTTCAAAAAGCCTCCTCATCAAAATACATCATCATAACTTATTTAAACAGATCATCAGAGGCCAAAAATGTGATGGGCCCTTGAAACCCCAGCAATGATTAACTGGCTGGGGCCAAAAGCAAAAGCTCTCTTAACTCATTCTTGGTGAGATTCTCGAAAGCTGTCCAATGATGGATCTGGTGATCTGTCAAGAGCTTTAAGATACCTGGATCTTCAGGGGGGGATATGACAACATTCAAGTAAATCACACATTGAAAGATCGTGTTGGCGGCGTGTGGATGATAAGATCAATGGTGCCGGAGAACCTCTGGGGATTGGGGGGATGTGATCAGCTGGATCGGAGTTCGGATCGGAATCTGAAGACTCAAACTAATGACAATGAGGCCACAGTCAGTCATTCTAATCGATGAAAGGCAATGCGAAGTACAGACCCTCTCAGGCTCGTGCTCCTGGCCATCGGGGGGTCGATCCATCTGGAGTAACACCATGACCTTTGCATTTGATGTGAAGCCTCAGCCTTGAAGGTCTTGGTAGCTTCGAAAATCTCGAGGAAATTCTCTTGACATCGACAGGACGTTTCCTACGATCGATTGTCTCTTTCTTGATAGTGTAAGTGCGTGGATGGTAATCATCCTGAACTCGAAGAAAGTCAAGTCTTCATCGAGGATGATTTGGAACGGAGGAACCGGATTAGAGGGTTTGTCGGTATCTAAGAAACCTCCTCGGGTGCCGCCTGAGCAGGACAGTGTTGCTCATTCATCAAAAGTTCGTAGTGCATTTCTGATCAGGCCAGACACTTCCTGGTTAACTGGTTCGGAGGCATTGATGGAGATCGGCCTTGAGCCGGTTTCCGTGGTTGATGGAGATCGGCCTTGAGCCGGTTTCCGTGGTCATTCCGGCGGAACCTCGTACTTTGCGAATGCGGGGTTCGCCTAACTTAACTAACTCCCTTCCCTTCCTGGTCGGAGTGGTAAACCACTCGTCGCGTTGCGCCGACCGGAGGGAGGCCGGAGGGTCCCTGCGGGGCAGCGTCCCCCCTTTAATAGGGGGACTTGGTTAAGTTAGGGTTCGCAAGCTGGAGTTCAGAGGCGGTTGTGTGTCGGCCACCCTCCCTTTGCCATTGAGAGACTGCTGGGATGCCTTCTTTGCCGTGAATGGCAAGCGGAAAAAGCCAGGCGTCGCCGGCCGAAAAATCCTACCTGTCCGAAGGCAGGATTTTTCCGCCCGAAGGAGGCCTGACGTGTGGCCGTGGTGTATACGAGCTGGGGTTTTCGGGCATCGTCAATGTCTCTTTAGGGAAAATGTAAGGATAATGATGGGCAAGTTGCGACTCATGTATCGCAAATGTGATGCTCCACACCCCCATTCACTCTGGTATGCTCAGTGCTCTGCATATTGCGATTGTCGTGTGAACTGGGCAACATCACGCATTCGGAGATGGTCTGAGACCATCTGAGACTATCGAATATCATCAGAATGATTGGGCATGCCACCAAGCTAGATGATTATTTGTAAAAATTGAGTCCCTCTAACAGCCTGGTTTTGGGTCCCTCATTCATTTCGACCACCCTGATAATTGGACGTTTTACCGGCGCGTTCTTGAGTCCAGCTTCCCATCTTTCCGTTTGGCAATCCGATTTTCGACTCAGCATTCAGCTATACTTGGTTTTAAGTCTTTCATTAATCTCGCCGACCCTGATAATTGGACGTTTCATCGGCGCGTTCTTCAGCTCAGCTCCCCGTCTTTCTTTTTGGCAATCCGATTTTCGACTCAGCATTGAGCTATACTAGAAAGTGGACGTGATTTGAAATCCAAAATCAAAATCGGATAAATTAAAATAGTGAAGATACGCGATTGCCTCCTCTCCCTCCACCACTGACACAGCCTGGCGCGACATTCAATACCATCCCGTCCAATCGCAGGCCACAAATCAAGCTTCTTGCGTCAACCAAAGATTCACAAGAAACCGCGAGAACATACTGAATTTTGAGGCCTAGTCGGTGCCGTGAGTCCCAAGAAGAAGTCCTTGTTGTCGATGAATAGTGATTGTGCAGTTTCGCCTAAAGTTCATGAATCTGACAATGTTTTTGCAGCTATTCTTGAAAAGGAGGACGAAGCCGAATCTTTATCTAAGGACCTGGAGAAGCGAATCATCTCAGCCAACATGCCCCCTGCCACTGGCACCACTCGACTGAAATATTGGAATGCGATCATATTTTTCACTTTATCTCTGAAGCCTTTACTCAGCATTTCATCACCAACATCTTCATTGAATGATGATCAAGCGCTTCCTCTCACTTGGCTTGACTTGGAAAAGGAAGCTCCATTCTTCAAAGTCAATCAACACTCCTTTCAAACACTTGATTACAACTTTGATTCAACGGACATGTCGCCCATAATCCAGACTTTGCAAATTGATTCAGCCGGAAGTCATGTTCGAAAACGTGATGCTGACGAAAGCGTTGTTTACAATAATAGTAAGAACGGTGGGGTCCCGCAACCCTTGGCAAAGGCGACCACAACTCTATTCAAGATTTATCCAGATGTAAGCTCATTCTAGTCCTATTTCTTCCTTATTTCTCGTTTTGCACAAACACCGCTAAGCTCATGACAAATCTCTAATGTGCTCAATGCCCCTTGGTCTACCAATATGAAGGTCCGCACTGTGTATATAGCCATGGCCGTAATTCCAGCTTTTATAATATGCTACGGGGCGTTCTCATCTTTTATCCATTCCAAGCTACATCTAGGGGAAGCGATGCTTGCCGTTACCTTTGGAATCTTGCTTGGCCCATATGTCGCTGGAATATTCGATCCACGCTCATGGGGAGGAGAGGCAAGCTTTGACGAGGTGGTCCTCGAGATCACCAGGATAATTGTCGCCTTGGATGTGTTCTCAGTTGGAGTCGGATTGCCTGCAGCTTACATTCTGCATCACTGGCGCACCATGATCTGCTTACTTGGACCAGTCATGTTGGCCGGTTGGTTTATCAGTGGCGCCTTTATCTTGATCTTCGTCCCGGCCCTCTCCTATCTCGAAGCCTTAGCCATTGCCGCCTGCATCTGCTCAACTGATGTTCTCCTTGCTTCTTCGGTCGTCGGGAAAGGGAAGTATGCAAAAGACCACGTTCCAGCACATCTAAGACACATGTTGCAGGCCGAAGCTGGTGCCAATGATGGAATGGCTATTTTACTGCTATACTTGACTCTGTTCATCCTCTTGAGGAAAGATTACTCAGTTGCACACGCCGTTGGAAGCTGGGTCTGTGCAACATTTCTTGCTTTCCTTGTCTTGAAAATTTATCTGACCTTTGATGCATCTAACCGGGACTTACTCCAACATAAATAGGTCACAATTACCCTCTTGTATCACATAATCGTAGGAATTGTGATGGGTGCGGTTGCAGGAATCCTTGTGCGCGAGGGATTAAAATTTTCTGAAAAGCATGGACTCATCGACACCGAATCCATGGTGCCGATATACATCTCCCTGGCCCTTCTGACTGCCGGTGTTTGTGTACTGGCTGGAACCGAAGATATCATAGCTGCATTTGCTTGTGGGACGGCTTTTGGATGGGATGGCTATTTTTCTGAAGAGTTTAAAGCTTCCAATTTTTCTGGCATTATCTCCCACTTAGTCAACAGTAAGCCCATTGTCTCATTCAATGAAAACTTTTTAATCAGCAAGCAGTCTGGGTTGTGCTAATGTTTTTGATTTTGCAATGTTTGTTGGAGTAGCTTTTGCTTTCATCTACGTTGGGGCCACCATCCCATTCAAAGCATGGAACGATGCCGTCTTGACATTGGTAGCCTGGAAAATGTTTTTGCTGGTGATTTCTATCCTTCTCCTCCGTAGGATGCCAATAATGATTCTCTTGCGAAAACTCATGCCGGAGTTGAGAACAAACAAAGAAGCCTTGTTTTGCGCACATTTTGGTCCGATTGGTCTGTACCTCTCATGGCTGCTTGTCAGACCATAATATTGTCTCAACTGACTGGCCTCATCTCACTTTTATACCTTCAGGAGTCAGTGGACTCTTCATCAGTTTTTTGGCAACAAAGAAGCTCCCAACACCTAGCGTTCCAGCAAAATGCAGTCTTGATATTCTTGCATTGACGATACAGCCGATCATGTATCTGCTGATATTCTGTTCTACATTCGTCCACGGTCTTTCTATTCCGTTCTTCACAATAACTAAACGTATACGCCCTGGAACGAACTCTGTGAGAAGGAGTGGCTCATTACCGTCTAGCAGGCCCAGTTTCAGCCACCAACAAGGGAGCACATCTGAGAGACCAAGCTTATCCAATCAGCCACGAAGTGTGTCCATGAACGAAAGCCGTAAGCCTAAACATTTCCTGAGAGTGAACAATGGTGTCTTTTTATAAATGATTCTGATTCAATGAAATTGTGCCTTACAATTCAATCAAGGTCCCATATCATTAATAGCATCGTCGTCCCCCTTACTCCCACAGGTGACCCTGACACCATATCTCGAACCTCTGCCGATGCATCAGCACATAGGTAATACTTCTCAGCCCAAGCTTACAAGCGCATTTCCTGGTAATCAGCCCGATCAAATCCTAAGTGAGGTGATCATAACACACGCCAGTTCAAATCCAACAATGTTCGAAGATGAAGTGGCAAGCGAAGTGAGACCTTCAATGGCAACATCATTCGAAAAGACTCTTCTCAGTCCTTCAGATCCCCTCCGGGAGGACCAGCTAACAGGAAGCAGTCCCAGAACCAGTGTATCTTGGTCAGATCTTAGCTCAGAAAAAGTCGAATTTTCTGAGTTAGAGGACAACACTTCAAAAAGGACATGTGAGTCCCCAGCGTTTTTTTTTGAGCAGAAATTGTATCATCATGGCCTCTGATATTGCTTTACTTCCTACATCAGGTGTGAGTCGGGAGGCTGGAGCTCAGGATGGGGAAGAAGAGGACATGGCAAGTTTGGTAAGCAATTCAACCTGATTGCATGAGTTGGTATCACATTAACATCTACTTGTCCTATCTTCAGTACTTCACAGCAGGATGCAGTAGGGAAGGTGTTGAACAGGATTCACAACATAGTACAGGGCCAATAACGTTGGGCGAGTGGGAAGGGGCAGAAGTGGAGGATGATGGATCACCAAAAACGACACCCCCTCAAGCTACTCATGAGCTTCATGCTTGCTTGTCATTCATCACACGACCAAGAAGCTTTTCGGGTCGCACAACCCCTGATCTGAAGAAGAGTCGGAGGATTTTGAGAGCATCAAACAGTGACACCATGCAGGAAGCTATTACAGGCAGCCAAAGACAATCAGCTTCCGGCTCAGATTTGTCAAGTTCTCCTTCACTGAATTGTTCATTCAATTTTGATTCAGATGGAAGCCCTGGTAGGTCTAACATCAGTGGCAGCAGCCCTGGAAGATCCGACATCAATCAGCTTACATCCAAGGTCCAAGGACAGTGGGGGAACATGTCAGGAAGTTTGGTAAGCCAATCTTGAAAAAGAGGCCCATGAAATCAAAGCTTCAAGAACAACATCCATCCCTCTGCCAAGCAATACCCTCAAGGACCAAGACAAGCCCCCTCTGGAATATTCAACCAACCTGCAACACCATGGATATCACAAGACTAAGCCCCCTGGAAAGAAGACACTCTGCATTCCATCACATTTCTTTATTAAATAATCATTTTATGCAGTCTTACATCACCAATCCCCTTTCATCCTTCCACACTTGTCCTCTGCATGTGTTTCATTCTAATCCATTTTCACTCTACTCTCATTTCCACTTTGGGCCACATTTATATTTTCTTGCACTATTCCACTTTGTTTATTCTCATGTCTCATACTAGTCCAGATTTGGCTAGTTCATTTATCTCTTTGGTATTTTCTTCCTTCCCCATTGATTGTGGCACATTTCATCCCTGCATGTCTTTGATGTAATTTCCCCCATTTATCTTAGTGTGAAAGTTTGAGGTCAAATACTTTATTGCAGCGTATAATCAAATGCTAATAGTAGTATATAACTGAGAAAAACAATAGGAAAGAGAACAGAAAAGAAAATAGAAAGATGAGAAAGATAAGGAACAAAGGAAATAAATGACTGAACTTGATGAGGATAAAGAGTGAAATCATCAAGTACCTTTTTTATGTTCTTGTTCTAGCTAAGACTCAAATATTAGACACAAGAAATCTTTTAAGTAGATAAAGGTAGATAACAAACAAGCCTGAAGAAAGCAATAAAAGATCAATCAACTCAATAATAGAGAAAAAGAAACAAAGAGAGAGAATCTGAGAAAGCAATGGGATTCAGCTATACCTCCACTTGAGTTATAACCGTGCTCCTCCCGAATTTCTTTGGTCTAGACAAGTGGTGAGGCGAAACAAGAATGGTACAGTTTGGGATTGATCAACAGTGAATTGAGGGAGCTAAGGTTTGACAGGGTGCAATGATGGTGATTCTGGATGCAATGAAGATTTTCAACTTTGAAGCACAAGGGTTGAACTTCTAGTTGTCTCACGTTATTGCATATGGGTATGCAGTATCACACACACCCTCAATACACCGCAGCAGTTCAGGATTAGTTATTGACACTTAGTGTCTACCAATTGGGCCACATTGTTCATAGTGATAATTTTATTCCCTGTTCATTCTTTGATTACACTTTGTTCCATTCCTCTTCCAACCACAAGCTGGCCACTCCCCAGAATTCTATATATAAAGAGCCTTGGTTTCTCTCTTTATTTGTTCCTTGTCAGATCCTGACCCAGCAATCCAGAGAACTGATCACCCATTATTAGCCAGGTATATGCCCATCAACATTTGGGTGATTTGTGAAAAAGTATATTTAGACTAGTAGACGTAAGAAATGTTAGACACTCTACTCAAGAAATATCCATAGCTACAAGCTCTATTCACCCCAAAGAGTAGTTACACAGCCGCACTGCAAATGCTTTCCAGCATCATTTTTTTTGACTCCCAATGATTGTAGGGTGGATACAGGACAAGATGAAAGCATGGGCCTGCTGGCGGAAACTCAATCTCCCCTACACCAACTCCTGGGAAACACCTCACAAATCAAAGGGCACCAAAGGCAGAAGTGGCTGTTGGATCCCATCTATCACAGGATGCTGTATGTTCCTTGGTTGGCTGGCGCGTTTGTTGGAGACATTGTTGATATACGATCAGTGTGGAGAGAAAGCTACAGTAGTGCTCTTGAATGTCCATGAACCCAATGAACAAGTCCATGCTGTCAGAATGCCAAATTCTGGAATATTTGGAATTGGCTGCAATCCACCAGAACTTTCAAAATCACAAAAAAACACTACTCAGTGCAGTGCAAAAAATGTACCCAAGGATTTCTAGATAAGAAGTGGATGTTGTGGGTTGGATGGTCATAATGTTAGAGGTCAAAGATAAAAGATTCAATTTATATGTACATAAATATTGAGAAGGGGTAATCCCTCAACCCAGGGTCTGCATCAGTGTGTCCAGCAAATTTTCTCCAATTACTGAGAAAAGTTAGAATGTTCCTATACAAATCAAACAAACCTCTTAATCTATATATACACCCTTATTATTTAATCATATGCAATGTTAAATGAAACATTGAAGGTGAATTGAACAACTTGAGACTGTCAACTGTTGGATACACATAGACGTTGAATATCACTGGGGTGGTATGGATACAACAGATCATTGGGGGAACAAATCCTCTAGCTGTCCTACTTGCTTCAGCTACATCTTTCCCATCTTATTTGTTGTCTCTTGTATTCACAAATGCGTATAATAGTATATGAATCTCTTTAATTTTGGTGATGACCCGGTGAGTTACAGCCAACAGGATTGACCAAAATGAGCCAGCTTGCCTTGAGAACGCAGGAACCAATGCAAATGTTGAATTGATTGCATGTTGTTTGGTCCAAGAAGACTATTAATCCTTTACTTATACATGCAGACAAACATACAGTCAGGTCTCCATTTACCCATACCCCTTGGTGGACACATTTTGCTATGGGTTACAGGGGTGTATGGGTTAATAAGTGGAGTTTTTCAGCCCTTTTGCAATTTTGGTGGACCCAATTTCCTATGGGCTACAAGGGGTTATGGGTTAATAAGTCATGGATTAAAAGGGAGATGACTGTACTGGTTGGCCATCATTTTTGGCCTGTCTACAACTTGGCTGACATCGAAACAGTAACAAGCTACAGATATGACTGGTGCCACCAATCCATTGCTTTCTTACTTCAATACTTGTTTGATTACTTGTGGAAGTCACAATGAGGGATAACCCATGATGTTGGGAGAGACAACTCAATTGTGGGCTATCATATTTTATTGGCCTTACATATATCAATACACACCCCTTTTGAGATCCATGCCAAATTGAAGTTGAAAATCGGGACATTGTTCTTTTATTTCATTTGGGTTTTCAAAGAACAAGAAGGATCGTGTTTGGTCAGCGATGTCACCTCAATCGATCGGGCCAAGGTAGTCCTCCTGCAGAAGTTTCTCGAAGATAATAAGTTGATAATGTAGAGCCGCTGATGATCAGTTCGCATTGGAAAGGTTGATGGGAAAAACGAGCTACAAACCTTAATCGTCCCGATTGCAAACTTATGACCAATGAAGGCAGATTATATCAATTTAATCAAAAGCGTTACATGTAATCACCACACAAGACGATGTGTAAGACTCACGATTTCCGTGGCATCGACACGCGTGCCGACAATCTTGAGACGAATCCGGGTGCCCTTTTCGATAGTTGCTTGATCTTCGTCCGAAGAAAAACAGGGCGGGTTGGCGTTCGGGTCGAACTTGAGGTCTGAGGGGATCAACTAGGATACATGGTCGCGCTCAGCATGAGAGAATGGGAACGGCGTGAAAGACTTTCAACCGGGTCCAAAAGTGCCAACTTACGTGACTCGAAACGAAGGCTTGAAGTGGACCGACTTCAACAAAGAAGCCCATCTTGTTTACTTGGCCAACGATCCCATCAACGACTTCCCCCTTGAAAGGCTTCAAAACAATCGCCTGGATATGATAACCATGCATCCAAGGATAGCTTGAGAAACAAATTGAAGGGGCAGATGGAAGATGAGAGAGCATGTTCCTACAGAGTATTTCATCACAAATTCGGCCATACCCGTTCCAGGTTGGATAGTACCGGCAGAAATACTCAGGGTTCTAAGGACAGCAATGATGTATCCAAATCGGCCTGGGTGGGTAGCAGAGCTGGAATCAATGTGACGAAGTGCGAGGAAGGAAGGAGAGATTCAAAGGGGCGAGAACTGACCGGTGCAAGTGCCTTCAACATCTCGGTTGAGCTTATCTTCGAGGAACTTAGAAGTTCGTGGGCCGAAGAAGGAGGGATGCAAATTGATCGTATGCGAGAGTTCTTTCTAGTGTGGTCCAATTTTATCGTCGCGCCAGGCCATGAGGGAAGACGGAGGATCACATGTTACTGAACTCTATCACCCAAACGGACAATCACAAGGAGCGATGAGCCAGTTGGCCAGATCCGTACAATAAAGAACATCTTCGAGCACGCCCCCTCTGTGTCTTTTTCCTCCTCGATATGCGAGTGTTTTCTGTTATTTTTTTGGGGGGGCCAACAAAACATGTGGTAAGCTCGCTGAACCAAATTCTTGAAGCAATCAATCATAAGAAAGTAGTCGTACAGTATACCCGTCGATCTCGAGCTGGTTAGGTTTCCAGCGGAGGACTCTTTGAGCTGGCCAACTTCTCGGCGAGACTGTCAGGTTGAGTTTGGAAAGGGTTGGCGTGAGACTGTGAGTGAAGGGAAGGAGCCAGCGGGAGAGTCTTGCATGTATGCGCAGATCGGGCTCTGATGATGGGCGGGCCCGGGAAGGCGTGGCCCTGTCCCGCGCGGGAGAGCAGCTCTAAACGGAACGGCCTCCCGGACCCCTTGCTCGCCGCTCGGTGACCGGGGTCTGATCAAGCAGCCGGAGCCTGGACGTCACACATATCCGAGCCGGACTTTGATCTCACAGCATCAACAAAGCTCCAGCCAAGGGGGGGACGGGTGTATGCGCTCTGCATCGACCTTCAACAATTCTTCTCATTCCATCCACTTGCTTATCAACACCATGTCTGTAGCCTCACTTTGCACTCTCGAAGAGTTCCACTCCGCCGTCAGTAGTTTGTGATCTGGTTCCTCCTATTCTCCCAAGTTGTGGACGAGTTCCGAGCACTGACTGTTGTCTGTTCGAGTGGGAATCCAGATCGGTCAAGGTTCTGAAGCAGACAGCTTTGCCATTGTCGATTTCTCCGCGACCTGGTCAGAACTCATACACTCATCTACCTATCTAGATCTCACCTTTACTCTCTCTCACAGTCTTGCGCCTGACCTTTTTTGTTGAAATCTAGGTGTGGCCCATGTAAAGTTATTTCGCCAATCTTCGAAAAGCTTGCGTCCGAAGACCAGACGGGCAAGGTGAAATACTACAAAGTCGATGTCGATGAGGCTCGTGTAAGTCTGACTCTGACCAGTGGGATGATATAACTGCCGAATTTTGTTCTACTTAAAGGAGAAAGACTGACTGGATTCTGTGAGATCCTTTCATCTAACAGGAGATAGCTTCAGAGGCTGGTATATCTGCCATGCCGACGTTCATCGTTTACAAGAAGGGCTCCCCAGTTGATTCGTTGAAGGGTGCCTCGCAACCTGGCTTAACTGTTCGTCAACCATCCACCCTGTATCGAGCTCTGTTTCTGGATAGGCAAATTTAGCTGACTAACTTCGGGCTGGATTGATTGACCATCCGTTGTTCATCGATTGGCTGCACAGCAATTGATCGCCAAGTGTCACCAAAATTAATCGCATGCCTCAGGCATCATAGGATCCTCGCTACTTCATCGTTTCTTCCAAGCACCAGATCCATACTACTGCCCTTTGACTTCTAAGCAGCATGCGGCATTTCTTTTGATCTGATCCAATAAATACATAGATACACGTCGGAACCAAATTACGTCCATCCATCCTAATGCTGATTGGCCTTTTTCATTGAATTTGAGCCGTGGATAATAGCAATGCATCTTAGGCTCAAAGAGTGGCTGTGTATCAGCACAGTTATCTATGCATGATTCTATGCTTCAATTTAATTAAGTTTGAGATACTTCTGTTATCTTTCGCTTAGTATACTGTCTGTCCGCTTCCATGTGGACGATCGGGCATCTCACGCTAGGACCATGGTACTGGAATGCATGGAGATTTCCTATAGGGAAGAGCTTGCTGACTTGATGATCTTTGAGATGGAAGCAATTTGAGCTAATCTGACATGGCGCAAATGGAAGCTAAACTTCTGCATGATGTAATTGCCTGATACCCTGTACTATTATTCCACAAGAAAGCCGAAGGAGAGGGGGCTTTGACGAAGATTACCTGGAATGGGTCAATTTAACTTCTATGGGAGGGGGGACGCCGTCCCGGAGGGGCCCTTCCAAGCCATCGGATCAACTGCCGGAGGGACTTGGTGAAGTTAGTGAAATGAGCTACCCTTCACACTTGTTGCGGGGGGTTACAAATACCTCAATTTCTTGATTTTGTTTTTGCCAACCAAGTGATTACTAAAGCCAAACAAAGGAAAATGAATCAACCCAACATCTCTATCAGTTCATCATATGACATGCTCATCCTACACATCACACTGAACTAGTCTATATATACCCCAGCCTTCGTCTTCAGAATACTATTCCAATCTTGTCCTCCCCTCCCAAAAAAAAGCACAAGACAATCAAAAGATCAAAATTGATAAAAGAACCAAAAAAAAAAAAGGTGAGACCATAGCATAAGACCCAAAATATTGATCAAAATGAAAGGGAATGATTGACAGGAGAGCAGTGGTCTATGATAAAATGCAAACTGATAAGAGGAGACGAAAAATAATCAGGGTTTTTTTGTTGCTAGGAATACAAAACAACAAAAAGAAAGGTACTGATGAGTTGAGGAAGTTGATTGTTTGTAGAAAAACGGCGGGTTCATCAAACTTCATTCCTCGGCATAAATGATTGAGGTTGTTTATCAGTCTGTCTGCTGGTCAACAACGCGTGATCTGTCGTCTCAAGTTGATTTGAGTTTGGTGCCGATCACGGTGGTCATAGATATCGTCTTTTGGCCATCGACGGGATTGGTAGTAGCAGTGATGACCGTCTTGCTATTTCCAGAGGCGACGACGACGGGCTCCATGGTGGTGGGTTTGCTTTGCTTGGCTACTACCTGCGCTTTCTTGTCCTGCTCCTTGATGTGGCTAGCGTGACGCTTCCGTAGTTTGCGCTCCAATCCGCCGGCCCATAAGATGAGCATCGGGATGCCGGCGATGATGTGACCGTACCAGGCCAGTCGGTTGTAGACCACCCTCGTGCTCCCAATGTCGAGCAAAACGAAGGGCACGACGAGGTAGTTCAGCGTGGTCTGTGTACCAACGATGCATAAGCCATCATAGACCATCTTGCTGATCCGCGAAGAAGCCAGGAAAAATGGCCTGATGGCCCCTCGGATCGACCTGCCCAAGGCTTGTAGGAAGCCGCCTGAAATAAAGGCGACGAAGTAGGCCGGTAATGGGCCATGCCAACTGAGGTCGATCACAGGGATAGCCGTTCGTTAACTCCTCCACATGTTCCATCTTTCTGAGAAAACTTGGCTGTCACTCACGCAGCTGATGCGCCAAATGTAGCCATAGTTGATAGAAACCCAGGTTTGTTTCCCTCCATAACAGCAACCCGTTTATACACACATTCTCTCAACCAGATATTCGTTTTCATGTTCCAATTGTCAAACACTGCCTTGTAGTTTTGCGCTAGCTCAATCTCCTTGATTTCGATGTTGCGTCCACCGGACCAGTCGCCTTTAATTCGATCGTATCCACATCCTGACATCGCTAATGAGGCTTCACTGTTTTCGGAATCATTTCAAAAAGAGTGTAATGGAATCGAGTTTTTGAATTTTGGTCCATATTCCGGTGTCTTTATGGTAAATCCGATCGTAGGTAATAAGAAACGCACGCTAGACTCCAGACTAGGTAATACCTTGCTCTCGACATGAATCCCGCAACCTGCAAATGCCAAAGCCTTCAAAGAGAAAAGGCAAAAGCAAACATTATTTAGTTGACTATCATAGGACGTATTTGACTAGGATGGAGACATCCACGCAAGAGTGAGGGTAACAACTCACCTTTGTAGCCAACTTTTAGCCAGAAATTCGTCTTCCAAAATTCTTTCATAGCTCCATTGACCACCATACAAGCCGACGAGAGCAGCAAAAAGCAGGCCAGTAGCGATCTTGCGCAACGCATGAGCTCCGCGGCCAGGGGGCGAAACGAGGCCATGATCACGCGCAGAAGTAAATTTGGAGTAATCGCTGAAAGGGATGGCCGGACCGACGAGCAAGGATGGGAAGAAGAAGCTGAAATCGGCCCAAGATGAAAGAAATTGAGTCCACGGATTCTCGATCTACTCAAGACTATAGACTGATCAATAAGTTTTGGAAGCTACCAGTATCCGAAGAATTCGAGTAGGCCTGGAAGCTCCTTGATGGCCGTGGATCGTTGGTATCCATCTAGGCTTTCAGTCGGCTGTTGACCATCGTAAACATTCCATGCAAACGTCGATAGTTTCATGACCAGAACCATTTGAGAACCAGTGATCTAATTTTGGATGATCACATCAAAGTTAGTTTCAATTACTCTAGCCAGTGAAGTGTTTTTCTCGCGTGAAAAATAATGGCCAACCTCAACTGTATCCGGTGAGACGTTCCAAAAAAGTCGACGGGCATGACTGACGAGTTAAGATTGGGTGCAACAAAAAGAGATTCAGTATGTTTTTTTACATTATGAATATTGAAAAAGGGGAAACCCAGGCTCAACTTGATAGTTAAATGACCTAGCAAACCGAAGAAGATCAACCAAGGGGTTTTAGATTTCAAGTTTTTACGGTTTAGTTGGATTTTTAAAGTCAACCAGGTAGCGAGGGAGCTTGTGACCAATTGGATCCAACCGGACGTCAAGTTGAAGACGAGCAAAAGAAAGACGGTCGAGCAGAGGATCGAATAGATGTGGATTGATCTTGATCTTAGGTTCGCCAATGGGATCGACAATGGTGTCGAAAGTAATAAGAGGCCCAGAAGTTTTAGGATGTCTTTCTAGAAACCAACAAGGTCCATCGGACAATAAACAGAAACAAGGAAGAGAGTCAGCTTCATAAATTAAACAACGAGTATTAGAAACAGGAAAAAGATCGATCTGATTTTCAGCAAGTAAACAAGTCTAGAGTGAAAAACCCCGATTGATGAAATACACCAAGAACGCTTGGATCGAGCGCATTTATCTTGTCCTGCACGGACCTCCATCAGTTAAGACACTGTGTTTTTTTTTTTTGGATGGACGTGAAACTTGGGGAAACGAGGACCCAAGAAGATCTGACAAGGCTTATCATGCAAGATAAACCCGGCAGACAGGTTTTTTATGGTCAATTAGATAGACATTCAATTATTCGAGCTATAAATTTTAGCTTGAGGTGAAGATCAAGGCAGGGGTTTTTTTTGGAAGAAGAGGATGACAGCTATTCTCTCCAATGTGATGTGTTGAGGGTTCAGATGGGTTAAGAAAGTGGGCCGTCCAAGCGCGACAAAGCAGAAGAAAGAGGGTATCAAAAAAAAAACAAAGTCATCAAAGGTGTGCTTACCGGGACACCAACGGCGGCAGAAACTGAGTCGAGACTCAAGAGACGGTGATCCATCCTGAGGGAAGAGACGGTCCACCACAAATGTGTATGAGTAGGATCAGGCTCTGCAAGGTGTGTTTCAAGTTTTTCCTTTAGGTTATTCTTCCTGTTCTAGCTCTAATAAGCAACTTTGGATAAACTTTTGGAGGGAAAGTAACCAAATAAAAAGTGGTCGGAGGATCGGGTTATAAGGTGGAGTGTGTTTACCTTATAATTGACGGTAACTGTTTAATTAGGAAGCCAGCCAGTCGATAGCAGGGATCGGAGAGGATGTTTTTTTTTTTTGGTTTTTTGTAAGGTGGGGCTCTTTCAGAAAGCCGTCCAGGTCTGCCGGGCTGCTGGATGGTCGTGGTAAATTTTTGCATTTTGAATTCAGGCAGGGAACATTCAACATCTTCATGGTTGCGGGTATTCAAATCTGCAGGCAGGCTGGCCAATCAGACTCACCACTCTCCAGTCCTTCGAGATTCACCAGGACAATCCAGGAGCCATTGAAGCTAGCTAGATTGAAAACCTTCAGGCTTCTTAATTCCCTTCCTATTCCTCATCATCCACCCTCCTTTCCTGGATTCACCCACCCACCCTCCCGCATATTCCTTCAAAATATCCCCCCCTCAACTCTAACTAAATATTCTTCGAATCTTTAGGATTCCAATTTTAACCGATCTACATATCTTGATCAGCTTGGGCGAAGATTTTGTACCCCTTTGGAAAATCACTTGAATTGATATGCTGTCCGGTGCTGGCACTCAAAGCCAATAAATATTTCATCCATCCCTCTCGAGTCTCAGGAGTGGGAGTATCAACCTCTCTTATATATTTTCTGTGTTCTAGGGAGGAAGAACCTCCAAACCCCTCAGGAAACAAAAAAAAGGAAAAAGGATTCTAGACTCAAATTCTTTCAAAGATTCATCCTGAATGAAATCTGAGAGATTTTACTTTGTACTTTCTGGGAAAGAGTGCCTTTTACAGATAAGGCTAATCAATACCCACCACACAACTCAATAACAGTGTTGGTGCTAATCATCTGCACTAAATATGTAGCAGCCCAAATCTTATTCCTGTTACATAGCAAAAAAAAAGAACCCTGCTGAACATTTCAGCTAGCTCCAACCACAAAAATGAGATTCAGCTTTGCCTCTCATAATCAGTGGGATTTGGGATTTGGGAAGCAATCAAAGATAATCAATCTATGGAAACAGGCAGAAGAGAAACCTCATGACCTAGTTTTTTTTCAAGGGAACCCTAGGGATGTAATTGGAGATTTCAAAAAAAAGGCAATGGTCCAGCATATCTATCTAACTTGATCACAAGATAAAGCTCTCAAGATGCCTGGTTGTCATGATTTGTGCCAGCAACGGTGGGCCGCTACACTAACCGTAGCGGTTAGTGTAGCGTAACACAGCGGAATTGCTGTTAGCAATTAGCGTAGCGTAGCGGAATTCCGCCACGACACCGCTAACGCTACGCGTGTGGGCCACAAAAAAAGGGGCCCACTACGCTGTGCTACAGCGGTTTTTAGCGGTTTTTGGCCGCTTTTTCCGCTAAAAGCGCTGTAGCACAGCGTAGCGTAGCAAAAAACCGCTAAAAAACCGCTAACACTAAGGTTTTTGGATGAAAAAAAGCGCCGCTACGCTACGCTTTTTGGGCCAAAAGCGTAGCGTAGCGGCCCACCGCTGTTTGTGGAAAACCATAAAAGCTGAAATTCCCTGAAGATATAACTGCTGGTTTTGAAACTTATGTACCTCCCAATCCATACTATCACAATGCAGAAGGTTCATAACTTCCATCAATTCTGTGGAAACCATGTTTATGAATGTATCGAAGATGTTCACTTCAAGCATCCAAAGTCCTTTCAAGAATATATGTGTTTTGAGTCCTACTGACAAGACCTAAAGATTACATCAACCCTCCAAGTAATATCTCAGAGCAGGAAGATCTTCACTCTGAGTCTTTGGGATGTTTTCAATGTTACTTTTGTTAATGAATCCAATAATTTTCATCCTAAGAGATGATCATGGTGAATCAACTTCACACCTTCTAGGGTCTTCAGCTCAGATAATTTAGAGATTTTTGGTGAGACTTGTAGCATTTTAAAATCATGAAATATTCCTTTTGGTCTGAGGCTGAATACAACCCAGATAGGGTTCAACCAGTTTTGCAAGGATAAAACAGAAATGGTGAGTCAAACCTGCACCCCCCCCCCTGATGCATGCCACCAGTGTATCCTAATCCCAATCAGCTATATTCAAAATGTGGAGATAAAACCATTACCCAAGCCTAATTTGACTTTCTTTCCAAGGGATTTAATTAGGAATGATTATGTTTAAAATTGATTTTATTTTGAATCTTGAATCATCATTTGTATTTACAAAACAATCAGGATGAATCAGCACATAAAACCATTACTGTTATTTTTCTCAAAGTTTTTGAAATTTCAGCATGATTGAATCAAAGAATGAGGTTCTTCTGTTTAAAATCTGGTTATTTAAACCAGCAAGGATCAGTTCTTTCAAATCCGAGATTTCCTACGTTTGTCTATGTCATTGTTGAGAATCGTGATTCAAGTTTGCTTGACAGGAATAGATGGAATGTTTGGTAGGACATTTTTCATTCCAATGTGTTTTGAATTTACTAGTTTATTATTTACAATTTATTACAAATGTACTTTTTCTCAATTTTGTAAGGGTGGTCCATAGGAGCAAAGCACTAAATGGACAGTGAAAGAGTATCAGGAAAATTTGATTCAGAATGAATGAAGAACTTGACAGAGATGACCTCAGACCGGGGCTTGTTGGGTACTTTGACCGTGCAAGTTGTCACTGAAAGTTCAAGAGTCAAAACAACCAAATCAGAAAAAGACTACTTTCAGAGTGGGGGGATGTTTAATTTGACTCACAAGTCCCAGGTAAGACCGCCATAAAGGAGCTGATCGGTTTGTTCTTTTTCCGAGGGGTTGAATTTTTTGAAGAGCTGTATCAAAATTAATAATAATGAGTTAACAAGAGTGCTTATTTATCTGGGAAAAGTTATGACTCACCTGGATGGATAGGCCAATTTGAGTACATCCGATATCTAACACCGTGGTGTTGAAAGAGCAACCTGGAAATTGGAGATGAAAGTTAAGTATGACATGGCATTTTTTTCGATAAAGGAGAGGATTTCGAAACTCGATAGAGGAAAAATTAAAATTTTCAGAGGATGTCACACTCACCATCAACAAGCTTTGCATACTGGACCGTATCAGGTTTTCCGGTTCTGTGAATGTAGCTAAGATAGATTAAGAGAAGCGATTTGAAGGTAAATACGTGCTCAATCTTACTCGGAATGTGAAGGTAAAGGGGCTACTTACATTCTTTTTCCACAATTGGATGTCTTGAGACTGATTGATCCCAACGGTGTTAGTAAATAGATAAAAAGGAAGAAACACTTGATATCTAGAATCAATGCTTTTGACTTACCTGTTGACCCAGCCGGCGGTCTGGACGGTCGGGTTGGTCTGTTCCGCTCCACTCCAAAGACATACGCCGAGCTCTTTGGCTGAATCGTACAATCCACAGTTCTACGAACGCGATTATGTGTCTGAGAACGCGTTGGACAATATTCGTAATAATGATAATGATAAACTTACACCTGTGCCACTTCCGATAGGAAAGACCTGCGAAAACGAAAAAAAAGAACGAACGTTCATGAGTATTTCACGTGGTGAAATGGAATGAGAAAGATGAGGAACAAACTGGATTCTGAGAATTGTAGCGACGGTCCACGCGATGGGGTTCACTCCTCTTTGCCTTCTGGGAAACCAAAGCAAACTAACCAAGCATATCAGGAAAAACAATGTCAGCTCAAGTTGGAGCTATGCTACCAGAAATCAAAAAAGCTCAGGGATATCAGATGAGAGAATGACCTGTTGAACCGGAGCAGGGTCATCCTTGGGGGGAGCTTGGCAGCGAGTACTATTGGCTGCAGATGAGTTAACACATCCGTCTTTCTTCAAAAAAAAGTTGAAACATGTCGAGTGTTCGGTGGCCTTGACAGCGGCGATGGATAATGCTAAGCAGAGGAAAACAGAGAATCGGTTCATTTTGATCGAAAAAAAGGCTTTGGGTTTATTTAAGTTCAATGACTCTTTGAAAGTTGGAATGACTGATTGATGAGATAAAATCAACTGGGTACTAGTATTTGATAAGACAAAATGCGTAAGACTTTTTAGAAATTGGGCTAGTGATTACAGAGGCGGATGAGGTGCATGTTTAACTGAAAGCTCAGCCTTCTTAAGCAAACATTCAGCTCGGCCGGGATCATTTCACATTATTACTACTGCAACAGGGATTCACGGTCAGAAGTCAAACGATAGGGTGGAGTTCAGCACCTCAGCTACGATGACAAGTCTAGGTCACTAGTGCTACGGAGATGATTGATAGTGTGAAGTTCAGAACCCTTACAACAACACTCTAACTCGGCGCGGCGTCCATAGTCGAGTCTTGCGGCGTGAGGTTGGTGTCGAAGCAAGGCAGCGACGTTGCAAAACATCAGGTCTCGTCATCAATCAGAAGTAACGATGCTATTAATTTTATTCACTATTAGATAGCTCGAATGGTGTTGGGCACAAAGAGCGTGATCCTGGACAAGGCTCATCATATCCCGTAAGACGCAGCTGGGCACTTCAGTTGAGAAGAGGAATGGGCCAAGCGGAGGGACTAATGGGAAACAATGCATACTATCTCTCAAGATCATAAGAACAGGGTCGTGTTTCCGATTACCGATGCTGCAAGCACTCTTGTTGAAGGACATGACTAGAAATAGGTGTTTTTGATCAGGAAACAAGAAAAAAGAGATCAAATGACGGGCGGGTGATGGTCAAGTTCACCCTCCACCTTTTCTTCCTTCCCCGCTGGGGATTCTATGAAATTGAGCATGGAAGTGAGCATGGATCCGGGCTATTCCCTCTGGGGTTCAACTCACACATTCCTAGCCAATGTCATTTCCACATGGAACTTGGAAGTTTCCCAATAATTTGTTAGTTATCCGGTCAAGTTGTGAGTTCTTACATTCCGCCATCTAGATCTGGGATACGGTCTGGGCATGTTGATTCTAGAGGGAACATTGCTCAGACGAGGGCACGTGTGGCAGATAACCTAACCAAGTCGCTCTGGGTTCGTCTCACCACTCCGTTGCAGAGGAGACTTAGTTGAGTTGGGGGTGGGATTATTAATTTTTTTGACAAGGAAAGGAAAGAAAAGCAAAAGATTGCTAGCAGAAGAGGAGGTAAAGGTGGTTAATCTGTCTTTCAAGATCGAGGCATGAGGGATCAGGTTCTGCAGATGGTCAAGCTTTTGGGTCAAACTCTTTTAGCCCGGATACAACAATTTTGGAGGAGGAACAGAGTTGATGAGGATGTGACAGCCGGTGCCCCGTGACTTCTGCGTGCCAGGCTGTGACAGGCTATGGTGAGCTGGCTGGGATCAGATCCACCACGCGAGCTGTCCGACGCGATCCGGTTCCCACAGCAGCACGAGTCAACAAGAACCTCTTCCAACCTCTGATCTTGTCGATCGACTTCAGCATTTGGCCACACGAAGGTTAACAGGGAAATCCAGAAATCGTACTGTCCATTTTCTTCTCACTCCTTCCACCCATGGGTACCTGTTCATTGACCACTGTGTCTGACCTTTTTTTTCGCGTTGCAGCTCCTAATCCATTCACGCGTCGGACTCAGAAAACTCAGTCAAACTCATCACATCACCCCCGTTTACTCGGCCTACAAGCACCAGGCCGCATCATCTTCCTCGTGGAAATCACTCTCCGAATCTCTACCCATCATTTACTGCTCGTGCCCTTCGTGTCAAGAGGCTTCAAATCCCTCGAAACATGGCCAAACCTTCCAGTATTCCACGCAAAGCATTTTTCCGCACAACTTCGTCCCAAAAGCCGCCCTCCTCGCCTCTGAGAGCTAAAGTGTTGCCTCAGCCAGACCCAGTTCCCGATCAACATTCATTCAGTGATCAGGCTCAGGAGGATGATCGGGGCAAAGTAAGAGAAGAAGAAGAAGAAGAAGGAGAAGAAGAGGATGAAGAGGACGATTTCAATCCGTTTACTTCCCACAAATCAAACGAAGCTTCAGCAAGTACCTCATCGGCTCGCCGGAAATCTCGAAGCCAGCCACTCCAAGCTGAATCGTCTCTTTGGCTGTTTAACGAGGATAGAGGGGCTGATTCAACTAATATAATGCAAACCGTCATGGCTCCTTGGGGTCTTGCTACATCTGAAGACGAGGAGATCAGCTTTGCTCATTTTGGGAAGAAACTGCAGCGGGCTCCTTCAAACAACAGTTAGTCCGTCTAATTCATCAGTGGAAACTCATATCAATTCAATACACATTTGTCCCCAACTCACTAACTCTCATCATGTCGCCCCGCGATCGATCTGCCCCTCACAACCGAAAGAACACCCAACGGAGTCACTTCCTTCTAGAAAAACTCGGGCTCTTTCTCCCGTGAATGATATGGCCTCAAGACTGCTGTCTCCAACCCATAAGCTTACCCGCCAGTTATTACCAACGAGCAATGCGCCCAGAAGACCTCTGTCAAGCTGTGATATTGTACCATCTAAATCGTCTAGCAGTCTAACCACGACCAAATTCTCAAATTCCATCCAAACGGCCGATCAAGCCAACGTCACTCAGCTGGATCCCACTCATCAGTCTCCAACAGCACCTCACAAAACCAAGGCCCGTTCAGACCAAGCTGCCGAGCTCCCCATGAGGCCCTTGCCCCCTCCTTCGGCTATGAAAAATCCTCGCGGTATTTCGCTGGAGCCCCCAAAATCTCTCAAAAAGGCGCGCTTTGCTGACTCGGACGAAAATGTCAACCGATTCACCTCGCTAAGTCCTGGATCAAGAGAGCCCACCCCAGCAGCAAATCATGCACCAACTGCGGACCCGTTTCAAGGTGTTACATCCCCATCAATCACAAATCTAACTACAAAACAAAATTTGGAAGCCTCTACATCAATTTTGGAAGAACAAACTGTCACCGTGGATTCAGTCTTATGTCCCTCTAATGACCAGCAAACAGACAGCTTACCCACAAATTCTAAAATCGTCAACCAAACTACAGCGTCTTCATCGGTCTCAAACACACATGATCCTATGTCTGCGCCAGCTAGAGCTCGTCCCACGACCAGTCAGGCACCTAACATGATAGAGACTTCCCCCATCAAAATTCCATCCACTCCGCTTTCACCAGACCGACCCCTTGCATCACGTTTGCAATCATCCAGCAGAGTCAGTAGATCCAGTCGTGCGTTATCTGTCGAAATAGTAGCCGTCAATCCAGGGGAAAAGGCAAAAGTCAGCGATCCTATGGAGAAGGTAAAGACCCAACACATGCCTTTATCCAGTTTCAAGCGACTGTCCCGCACCAACTCGGCGAACAGCAAAGTTTTCCAGACCTTTCAAGCCGCACCCACTTCCGTCCTTCAGAGAGCGTCCTCGGTCAATGCTGACTTGCTAAAGCCCTCGCGGGTTGTGCGCACTCTGGCCTCCCTCAGTGGGGCCTCCGAACCTGACTCCCAAGTGACCCGAACTGGCATCAGCTCTGGCAAACGTTCCGATCAGGTATCTGAACCACTGGGAAAGGCGGCTGAAGCTCAGACTACCAGCAGTCTTGAGCCATCCAGTGGCCCAGGGATAACAGTTCTAAACAAGGGCAAAGATAAGGCTCGGCAGTTGCCTCCCGGGGAGTCAGACTCATCGAAAAGGAAGGAATTGTCGAACCCTAGACATGAAATCAACTTATCTAGTGACGATGAAGGCCAACGAAAGCATAGTAAGGCTAGTACCTCCAAGGATAGTTCCCAAAACTTGAAGGCAGAAAACCGAAGACCTTCCAATCGCATACATGTCAGTGAACGGGCAGGATCTAGACTCAGTGCGTTGATTGAATTGCCCACACCGAATTCAACTGTTGAAGCCATCAGTTCCGGAGATTTTGAAGGAGTGGCCATCAGCAGCAACCTTTCAATGGTCTGTCAGAACGGTGGCGTACCACAATTCTCTACTCCATACTCTGCCGGCCGGATCAGCCTTCCCTTGCCCCCTGATACTATCCACCTCTCAGCCTCAAGGCCGAGAAGAAGCGGTCGAAAATCTATGGTCGGCAACCGTGATATAAAGCCGCCAATGGTACCTTTAACCTTCGGGGATTCACCTTCTACGTCCCGTTCAGCCGATGATCCAAATCATCATGTTTCAAACCCTACTTCCTCGAGTGACAATGTCCTTCCGTCAAGAAATATGGCAGAGCTTCCTGAGCTTGCCCCAATCACATCAGCGCCCAACACTTCCGGACCAGCTGCATCGTCCCATAGCCCAAACCGCAATGATAGTACCAATCCCACAACATCTAATGTTGTCCTCAGCGGAAATGCTGCTCCTAAGAACCTGGTAAGATCCAAGCTCAACTTTTCCCTTACTTTTAAAATCCCTTGTACAACTGCATTTTAATGGGTCGGTCATTTTTAGGCTTTGCATGCGGCGGCTTTGCCTTTGACTGAAGTCAAGAAAGGCAAAGCCAAAATGGCTGATCGTCCTATCGCGTCTACTAAATCTACAGGAAGAGAAACACACTCGGCTGGTTTGAAGAAAGGTGGCAAGCAAGCCAACGTCATGGGAGTGAGACCTCTACCTGAAAAAAGGGTCGATGAACCGCCACCCGTCAGGCATTCTAAGCCCAAAGAGTCCTCTGCTTGTCCTCCCAGCACCTCCTCCGGACCCCCAGTCGTAGAACAGGAAAAACAAACACAAGAATGGCAGTCCACTTCACAAGGCATGGATAAGCAGCCAGAGCCAGAGATTGTCATAGCATCTCCAATCTCACCCGCTGGGCCCACGCCCAGCGCTATGGTTCCTTCGCCCTCGCTCCCAGAAGCCGCGGAGGAGTTAGCCCCACCACCACGCCTCATCAGAGTGAAGAGGCCGCCTGTCCTCAATGGCGATTCCGCATCAGCTGTCTCGAAGAAATCGCGTTTGCCTTCAACTTCAACCGGCGAGTATTCTAACGTCCCCAGCAATCCGCCTAGAGCTGAGAATCGTCCTTCAAAGTCAACCGCCAGATCCGCTTCCGATGCCAGCCACCCATCGACCGCGCATCCTTCGGAAGTAACTGATGTGATGGCTCCAGCAGCTCCTCTAGCCAGGGTGAAGAGGCCGTCTACACTCGATGCTGACTCCGCTCCAACTGCCTCGAAAAAATCGCGCGTGCCTTCAGGTTCAATTGGTGACTCTTCTAGCGACCCCAGCAAACAGCCCGTAGTTAGAGACCCTCCTCCAACATCAACCGCTACCTCTGCTTCCGACGCTAGACCTCTATCACCCACGCATCTTGCGGATGCGTCGGCTCCAGTGCCCCACTTGGTCAGAGTGAAGAGGCCTTCTGCGCTTGATAGCGAATCCACTTCTACTGCCTCTAAAAAGTCACGTGTACCTTCAGGGGGGACAGGCGAATCTTCTGCGGTTCCTAACAATCAACCTAGACCCGAAAACCGTCCTCCGGCAACAAGTTCAGCTGCTAGATCAGTTTCCGACCCCAGGCCCCCATCCCACTTGCACCCGTCAGAGCTTGTCAATGCGTTAGCTCCAGCATCCGACTTGGTCAAGGGAAAGAGGTCAAACGTACTCGATGGCGATTCCGCTTCAGCCACAACCGCCATATCGAACAAGTCACGTGTACCTTCAGTGGGCACTGGCGAATCTTCCAGGGTCCCTAGCAACCAAACCAGAGTGGAGAATCCTCATGCAACCTCAAGTTCAACCACGAGGCCAGCTCGCGACGCCAGGCCCACATCGGCCGCACACCTTTCGGAGGCCAACAAAGCTCAGGCTCCTTCATCGCACCTGGTCAGAGTGAAGAGGCCATCTACGTATGATGCCGATTCCGCTCCAGCTGTGTCGAAAAAGACGCGCGTGCCTTCAGCTGGGAATGTAGAACCATCTAGGCCCGCCAGCAACCAGCCCAAAGTTGCCAATCATAATGCTGGAAAGTCATCAGGCCTTTCCAGAAGACCCTCCAGCCTCCAATCTCGCCCACGCGTCACTTCCAAGGTCCAAGATAACAACTTATCAAGACCATCAGCTGACACAAGGTTGCCGCCTAGTCAACAAGTTGATGTCACAAACTCTTCTGGCGGTCTGTTAGCTAAAACACCTCATAGTACAAGCGACGAGTTGCAAGTTTCAACAAATCGAAAATGTGCGGATGGAGTAGGCGAAGTCCCAAATCTTGGGATTAGGTCTGCAGAATCGCATCCAACACCTGTGGACCCATCGCATGGCGGTCAACACTTGAATTCCGATTTGGCTAAGCACTCGGGAGAGAAAAATGCCCCTGATGGTAACCCTCAACCAGCCAGACTTCAACCTGATGGATTCGTTTCTCTGAATTCTGCATCACTGCCCGATGCAGCTACTGTCCCCTCCATAGAAGCTGTAGAGGTTTCCAATTCAGCATCTACCCAAGTCAAATCAATAGGTTCGTCAACTGACCGTCGGTGCACTGTTTTACTCGAAGTGCCGTCTGATTTTGATCCTTGCCACCCGGCCGCCAATTCAGAACCCTTGAAATCTCCTGATGCACAAGCTGTCATGACAGCAGGTCATAGTGATATACCAAATGTCCAACCTGCAGGATCTTCCAATGAAAAGCCAGTCAAGAAAAATTCTTCAAGTACTGCAACAACCAATCATGAAACCGCCGACCTCAAAGCATCAGGTCATCGCGCTCAAGCTCCGATTTTAACCCTTCCGAAAGAGTTTGATTTTGCTTTTCGATCAACAATGCCTGCTAAGCCAAGGATCAAGGATGCTCGAGCCCAAACTGGGAACTCAGCCCAGACCACTCTTCCCTCCAAACGGCCGCCTGTTCCCAGCACATCGCAGGGAAAATCATCAGCTCGGACAAATCCTCTAACTAGGTCTCGCCCTGACGAAGGTGATGCTGATAGAGCTCCCAAGGTTAGTACCATTCACGATGCCTAATCAGTCCCTTCTGCATTTAACTGATTCTAATGACGTCATTTATTCTAGCGATTTCGCTCCAACCAGTCTACTCTCGCTACACCCTCTCGCGCCAGAATTGGGCCCAATAGGGTCCGGAATGTGGTGGGGCGTCTTAACAGTCTCGCCAAGAATGACCCGCCTCCACCGTCATCTTCTCTCGCCCGTGGTCTTCGTCCAAAGCCGCCGAGCAACCCACATCGGATTACCGGCAGCACATCAAAAGCTGTTTGCGCCACTTCTCAATCTCTTGCTGCTGAGAAAAATCCTCAAACTATCCCCAACCGTAACAATGCAGCAGTGCCAGCTGGCTCAGCTCAGCAGTCGGCTTTGAGGAATCAACTAATGAGGGAAATACGACAAAAGGCCGACATACGTGCCTCCAAGCAGGGAAAAGGCATCCCTCACTCAATTCCTCCAGCTTGCCACCCTTCATCGGAAAATGCGGAAGGAAAGAATAAGGGAAACAACTACTTGGCTGATATCCCTGAGGCTCCCTCGCAGCCTATCCCTAAGCGAGTTAATCAAAGAAATGTGTCCGGCGCTTCATCTTCTAAGGTATTTAGAATTTTATCCCTGTTACTACATAATAAATGCATTCTTTATGCTCACGTAGGCAAAATTTAAATAGGCTCATAATCCACCCAGGCTCCAAGAAGCAAGGGCCCAGAAACCGATTTCACAGAATTCTCGTCCAGCTGCGAGTGGATTTCAAAACTGTTTGAATCAGGTGCGTTTCTCAGTGAGGCAGATGCAGATGTATTTTCCTTACTCCTGGTGTTTAGGTACTGAAGTGCATCATTGCTTACGGATTCTAGTGGCGGGAGGTTGAGGCACGCCAATCAATAAATTCAGGAACGGGGTCACTAAGTAACAGTGTCCAGTCGAGGAAGCTTCCAGAATGGCAAGACGTCTCACTTGTCCACCACGTCTTACCGGTCAAGGACCATTCGAAGCCCAAGAAACCGACGATGAGCTTCGGGCTGGCTACCGAACGAAGGATCTTGGAACGCGAGAATTGGGAACAGACTAAGGCGAATAAGGAGAAGATCGAGGCTGAGATCAGGGCTCAAGAAGAACTCAAAGCCCAGGAACTCCAGCGGGAAGAGTTCATCAGGATGCGTAGAGAATGCGTCATCAAAGCTAATCCAGTTCCTAGTTATCTCAAAAAACACCCCTAAGTATTTTCTTTGGCATTTCTTGATTCATTTAGCATGTTTCAGATATATTTTATGGTACATAGACTTGTCTAATTTTTCAGCCTATCCTGCTCCAGTAACAATAAGTGTAGTAAATAGATACCCATGGATCGCAATTTCAACTATGTATTTCATTTTTTATTTTATTTTATATCGGTGGTTTTGTATTTATTTTATTTTATTTTATTTTATTTTGAACGTAAAGTGCCGAGTACCTACAAAACAGTATACATGGAGCTGATCCAACTGGCAGTGAATATGTCGAGGATCATTGATGGCTCCATCCACACAATGGGCATCCCTGATCATGTCACTGTGACCATGTAGCCTGCATCATTTTATTCTAGTCTCCAGAAGAGTTCTCAGCCAAAAGTTTGGGTACCAAACTCCAAACATCAGTTTTTGCCAAGTCATGTATGTGCCCTTTGAGAGGCAAGAACAATAGAGCAAACACAAGGTAACTACATGCAGGTTGTTGGTTTGATGCTGTAATATTTCAGTGCAAAAAGAATGTAGCTATCATTTAGTCAAAACATGAGATATAGAATTGTAGAAGCAATACCAACTGCCTATCTTAGACTGCAATAGCTCCGTTTGATAATGCGGTGAAGTGACAATATTTTGAAATAGATCATGTGCAATGGAACTTCCAATCAAAGCTAGGGGACTTTTTGTATGAAATGCAAGTTAAAAATAAGGCATGGCTGCATTAGCTTATTTGATAGGCTTGATGATGGGAATAGCTGGAGGTTTCTAGAGTTCAATTCAAGAAAGATAGATGTTTCAATTTGTTTTGTTTCTTTTACTGAATTTTTTGTGCAGCTTCTTCAAATTTCTTGACAATATCACCAAATGATCTTACAAATAGTAAGACAAAATGCCGGAAAGAAACACTCTCTTGACCCCATATTGTGCTTGCTATAGCATAGTATTGTTTCAACTGGTTCTTTGATGTCATGAATGAATCCCATGCAATGCTTTTCTCATTGTTCAACATCTCAGTTAACCATTTTTGGCTTTTTGATGCAAATACATCCAATGCTTGTTGGAAAGAAGCCCCTGGCTGATATACTTGCAGAAATTCTCCCCATTGCTCATTTTTGTATCTTGTAACAAGTCTATTCTTGTTGAGATCTGTCAAACATTCCAAATATGCATTTTCACCATTTTTCTGGCGTTTTATTTCTGTCTCAATTGCATAGGTTGAATGGAAAATACTTGATAACAGTCCAACTCCCTCCTGAAATGCAATGACTTTGTTCAAAATATTTGAGTGCTTGAATTGAAATTCCAAGGAAATCAGATGTTTATGATAATCCATGAGGAATCCCAGCATGTCGTATAACTGCTTGTATTCAACAAGATGTCGTTTCTTGAATTCCGCTTTCTCTGTGGCTGAATGCTTGGACATGTAAGTAACGATTTTGTGCAATAAAAACTGCAGCTTCTCTGATGTCAGCGCTTTGTGTGGTGATGCCTCTACCAGGAAACAATATTTGATTTCATTGAATCCTGCTGTAGATTCAGGCATTATTGGGTACATATACTTCATCTGGTTCATCAAGTAATGGAACTCAATGTATTTCCAAGTTTCTGGCTCCAGGACTTTGCATTTCGATAAGAAAGAGGAGAGTACATTTTTGTCAATCACTTTTTCGAAATCTACAAGTCGATGAATGATGAGAAAATAACGATGGTCGACTCACGCCCTAAGAGATTGGACATCTTGCGGGTGGAAGGACCTTCTGTGAGGCTTAGTTTTATGTTGAAGTTCAGGTACATTTCGTTCACTGGTGCATCCTTAGTGAAAGGAAATCGGTCCATGACATATGCCAAAATGAATTCTCTCCCGTTGTTCTCGTTCAAGAAATCATGAAGACGTCTATCAGTGAGGATTTGAAACTTTTGCAAGTCAATGAAAGCGTCAATCATCAAATCGCATCCTTTTTTGATAGTTGAAATTTCCTCTGGTGTCTTTGTCTCATCATAAAAGGGCTTCCAAGTTGTGTAGATCTTTGCGATGTTTTTCATCCCACTCTCTTCCGACAAAATATGGTCAGTTGATTGGAAAGACTTGGCTGGCGTACGCAAGTTCCTTGCTGTGAGTTCAACCATTTTTTTATGAAAGAGATTAGACATTGAACGCAGTAAAGTGTCTACAGTCAACTCAAATCTCTGCCTTTCGATCGAGTTCTCAAGCAGTCTGGTTGTTTGGATCACATCGTCCTTCCAATCGAGCCAATTTTTTGACATTTCCTTGTACCATGAAGTAAGCATTTCCTCAGATGCTACATTATTTAAATATGAAAATATAAAACAAAAACTTAGCCACCTGTCAGAAGGGATATCTTTAAATTACAATGTGCCATACGGACCTCTTTCTATCCTTGGCCTCTTGTTTATATCTGGAAGGTCATCATCTAAGTGAATGACTGATTCCAGGATGGATGAAAGGAAAAACGTCAGCTAGGTGCTTTCTTCCACATTAACTTAAATATCCCCTTTGTCTGGGTAATGAAGAATTAAGGGCTTCCAACTACTCAGTGAAGAAAAAAAATTCAAGGGCTTTATTCCTACCTTCGTGAGATGGTGGGATTGAGGCGCTGGCCAGCACGATCTCTAGAGGACGTTTCGTGGTGCCCGTGGGTTGCTCCTTAAGCGGTAAGCTTCGATCTGGATCTACCCTTCTTGACCTCTGATTTAACAGGGCATATTGCATTGAACTTGAAGCCGATGCGCCATGAACATCGGGAATGTTGCCAGTGGTTTGGAATTGCTCTAATGGACTCAAGCTCCATGTTAGGAATGCCACACTATACCTGCCAGAGGTTGAAATTAAAATGCAACATATGCTCACGGCTTTCCATCCCGGGCCTGTTGCTTGTTTCTGGAAGGTCATCATCTAAGTTGATAACTGGTCCCAAGATCAATGAAAGGGAAAAGAACATTAGTAGCTTGTGCGCTATGATTCAACTCAAAATTCTGGCTTCCGTATGCCTTGCATTGGCGAGGGGTTTTCAAGCATGCAAGAGAAAGAAAAAAAGATTTCAAGAATTCGTTTCCTACCTTCGTGAGACAATGGACCTGCAGCTTTTCCCAGAATGATCTCCCGAGAACGATTTATGGTGCCCGATGGTCGCTCCCCAAGCGGTAAGCTTTGGTGGGGAACAGCCACGTTTGGCGTCTCGTTTGCCAGAGCAGATCGCATTGAAACCGGTGCGTCAACATGGGGAACATTGCCAGCGCTTTGGAATTGATGTAATCTACTCAAGCCGCATATTATGAAGGTCGCACTGGTCCCGAAGATGCGCATCTTCCGAAATTTTTGTGCGTAAGGATGAAGTCCTGAATATTCACGTTAATTTTCCAACTCTAAAAGACCTGGAAGGTCAGAAGGATTCCTTGGTGGTCACAAGTTCCGCCAGCAGTCAGCAGCTTGCTCAGAATTCACAGACGCTGATGCGTAGGTGCCGTTTCCGTTGTATATTTGCTGATGAAACTAGATCAGAACGCGCCCCGCGAGTCACGCAATGCACACATATACTTAACTTTGGGGAAGACAAAACCGTTCCAGCGGCGGCTCTACTAAAGATCAGTGTTAATAATAATATCACAAGGACGAGCCGCCGAACTGCGCCGGATCACAGTCTTCGTCCATTGTTAGGTCTAAAAATTCGGTGTTTACGATCATGGGACGCGTTCTTGCCCGAGTCTTTGTCTTGACAAGTTTCCAATCTCAGACTTGTGCATCTGGGATTTAGGAGCGCTCACCGGTGTGTTTTTGGATACAACTGGGTAGCCGCAGCCCGAAGGCTTTTTCTTTGCCGAAAAAATACCGCTTCCGTGACTTGTGGGACACTTTCCCATGTTAGGGCTGGTGTAACTTGCAAGTTATGTTAACAACTGAACATGTTAGCGGAATATGTTTCTGCAGGTCAGGGTCTAGAACTGAACTTGCAAGCCGTTGGCAAGAACCTTCACCCCTGGAAGATGTTTGCTATCCATCCCAGATTGCATAAAATCAGCAAAACTATTGTGAGGTTCCCAAGTTACAGTCTAAACCCTACTGATTTCCGAAAATGTACATCTTGTGGATAAGCACTGCAAGCTTCCATGAGTGGTTTGATTGAGTGATTATCTGAACATCTTGTGCTAAAAAATATTTCAAATAAATTTATGTATGACTTGAAAGTCTTTTTGTATTAATGGGACAAGAAACCCATGTACAATTTCAATTGTGTGAAGCAATCTAGCTGAATGATTGAGACCTAAATTGAGCTGAAAAAGTATCGAATACCAGCAGATAAATGCTTTTTTTGACTCTGAGAAGGAAAGAGAATTAATTATAGTCACTGCCACAAGGGCAAGGCTAAATGCATTCCAAATTGTTATCAATATCATGGGCACTCAATAACGTTGGAGTGGAGGAATGTCAAGTGAACACTTTTCCAATTTTTTTTTTGGTTTTTAGTTTGCCCATGGGCTATCCTGAATCAACCTTCTGGATTGCAGGACAGGCCAGTCTGGGCTCCAGTCAAACCTTCAAAATTGGTACCCATCCCCAACCAGTGTCTGTAAAAACATGGAGACAGGATGTCTAGTGGTGGTCCATGAACAGTTTATCTGGCCAAGAAGGCCATTTACAGGAAGCCCCAAGTTCAGGTAGGACAAGAAGGTTAATATAGTCAAGATTTGATGTATGTCATTCCATCAGACAGGGCAATTTGATTTTCATCAAAGAAAGAGATTTAGTCAAATGAGTCTTTTCTCTACATATAAGCTCAATCCCTCCATTGAATATCATCCGCAGACTATTTGAATTTCTTTGGTTAGAGTATCTGGATAATGTTTAAGAATAGCTGATAAAAGCACTCCTCTATTGAGTAATTTTATAAGATTAATTTCCCCTATTCCCAGGCTCAAGTACTGGTACAGAACTACCGGGGTGATCATATAAAGTCAATTTCAGTCATAATTTGAATGTAATATATAGTTTGTGAATTGTATGCACTATACAAATTTGTAATTAAAAACAAACATATTGTAGGAGTAAAGTCCAGAGAGAAGTTGGCACATTGTTTATTCCTGCCCTCCTCTAGACCTGTCTCTTCCTTTCCATTGATTGATGAGTTTGATCTCCAGGTCAAAAGAGACAACAATATAATAATACCTGAAACAATGAAATTGGATGCTCTATTTTGAAGTGCTGATGATTCCAACAACCATAGTTTACTGTTACAATATGTTTTGCGTGGTTTACAATGGGCTTGAACTGAACAAAAGCTTCTCAAGAGAAATTAGAGGGCTGAAAAAGGGAAGACATGTGCAACAAATTTTTGTATTTTGACTTGGGTGAAAGTTATAGTAACAAGAATTGAAATCAATGGAGGGACTATTCTGTGCGAGGTTGGATCTTCCTTAAAGCTAGACCGGAGTGATTTGGGATGCGGTTTTCAATGCCTGAGTCCAGGAAATTAATCAGTAGAAGTTGGAGAGTAAGGTCAGAATGGCTTCAGTTTCTGAGCGAGATCATTATGAATCATACATGATTCGAAGGACGATAGCAGAATTCAATCAAAGATGACCAGATTACTGACTTTCTTGGTTGCAACATATATCCTTTCCTTAGCCAGAAATAAGAATGCGGCTGTCAAAACGGACTCTGCAAATTTGAATAGATTAAGATCAGATTCAAGAATAAGCACTTGCCACATATCAAGCAGTCTGGCTTTCTTCAATTTATGAGAGAAATCGTTTGCTCACGTGTCAGCTTGGGAGCTATCCCTCTGTAGAGACCTTTGATGCCATCTTTCGCTACGATCTTCCGTAGTCCGTCGAAGGTATCGCGATATTCTTTACCCTCCGCTTGACCACTTTGCATTCTCGACTTGACCGTTCTACAAAATGTAAGATGTTCGACAGATCAATTTCCCCGTCCATGATAGTTTGGAAGAGTTTGACTTCAATCCATTGATACTCACAAATAGGGGTAGGTCGAGCCGGTGGCAAACAATTTTGAGATGGCTCCTAGAATAAAATGGTCAGCATCTTTGAGCACGTATTCGGTTGCAGTTCCTGAAGTATTCCGAGATAATCGTTTTCGCCGAGCGATAAGGATGTTTTTCATTTGTTCAAATAACTACAGGGAGAGTACGGGCATGGGTTAGCGGAATACAAAAACGAGCAGGTAAATTGAGGTATGGCAAACCGTGTACTGAAGGATTGGATTGATCACTAGAATCAAAGCTGGTCCGAGTCCTCTGAATAAGGCCATGGCCCCATCAGTCCTGAGAATGTGAAGTACTGTTTGTAAGAATCCCATCCGTTTGGAGCGAGCAGTGGAAGGCAAGCCGGGGTTTGCTCGAACGACTCTGACGGTTTGCCGAGTATTGACGACCCAAATTGGATTTGTTAGGACGGCGGTCATGGTGCCTGCTATGGCACCGGCCAGCATTGATTCAATTGTCGACAGGGCTCGCTTTGTTTGGTTTGAAGATCGCAACAGTAACACTGCTCGGGACTCTTCAAAGAACAGGTAGTAAATCCTAGAGCAGCAGAACAAACCAGAGCTCTCATTCAAGTAAGAAGCGAATTCATTCCCACTTTTTGAACAATAATGATAGGGGAAAAAATGGTCTGCAATGACCAACCCATTTGTGACAGCAATTCCAATTAATGAAGATCCTAGACCATCATAGAGAGACCGAAACCCTTCCCGTTTGATGAGATGAAGCGCCGCCTCGAGAGAGCTCTAACAAGACGGAAAGCCAACCAAGGGCGTCAACAAGATCCCAGCTAGCGATCGAAACTTGGTATCTAAATATCACTTCTTATTGTATCACAATTTTGTAACTCACCTCCCCTGGATGTCTGCGAGCTTCGACTTGAGCCCGGGTTGAGATACTGATGAGGGGATCTGGATTGCCGGCACGAGCATTAGAATGAGTACCGAAAGCAGGAAATAAATTGCCAAGGTAAAGTTACAAACAAGTGATAGCCCTGCAAGAGACCCAAAAAAAAGTGGTTGACGGCGGCACAGTCAACAGGGTTCAGTTCTACCAAGGTGCCCCAGATTAAGTTTGCAATGAATCCTACATACATGGCACAAATCCCACCCAAAGCGCCGCTTGAGGCATGGACGAGTGAGTCGGAGGGCATGATTATCGGTGATTGATAGATAGTAGGCTGCCGCTGAGGGAAGTAGTGGAGTCGTTGGGTCGGTCAGCGATGAGTGGATTCGTCCAAACTGTCTGGTCAACAGTAGTAGTGTGGAGAAGGTGGAAGTTGTTGGCAGCCGAGGCCAGAGCGAATCGGCAGAGTTTGGTGTTGCCATTGACGTCATTCACATTCCAATTTGACCGATCAGATATCACAGCTTCACTCGCAGACATGTCACGGGCACTCATCCCCCGAGCTCTGTAATACGAAACTTTGTTTCTGCCCAAGCACCTAAATACTCTCGATGTTTATCAGAGAAAATTCATGATGGAAATCCATCCGTATGCTTGGATTATTTTTCACGAGTATCAATTAGTCAGAAGAAACGAATTTTCGAGTTCCAAATGAAGAATATGGAAATTTTAATGGCTAGTGGCAGAATTTATAATTTGAAACTCATGGAGTGAAAACTGGGATTTTTGTACGCAGAAGAGCTCCTGAGATCAGGCATTGTATTCATGGATTAGGTTGTGCAAAAGGAAGAGAAAAAAAAATGAAACAGTTGACTTGAGAAGCGGGAATAGTATCTATCTGATATCTATGACTGTGATGGAACAAGTGAGTCCTACTTGGGGAGAAGCAGACTGGGTGTGGCCTTGAGGGAGAAGCAGTTGGAAACAAAATCTCAGGATTGGAGGACTTCCCGTCGTCTAAATTTGTAAATTTACAAGGACTGGCTAAACCTTGTTGGCTGGTGAAAATCGTTCGACCTCAAGATTCCACCAGCAAACAAAGTTTAGCCGGTCCGTCTAAATCAAGCCATCTGGTCGACGGGAAGTCCTCCATTTCTCGTAGAGGCTGATTGAAAAAAACACTTGTCTTGATACTTTCTGTCAAATCCGAGTGACAGACCAGTAGAGTCGTTGTATGCCAGTGCAGTCTGAGAAAAGCTGGACAAGATGGTCCTCTGGGGTGGTCTCAACGAGTTCAGAAACCACTTTGACCTTGTTCGGACCAAAAACTGATTCCCACATCTCCCTCCATGTCTAATGGAATGTCAGTGTGGAGCAGTAAAATAAATATACAACAATGCAGCGGAAAGCTTGAATCAGTTTGCGTGCTAGACGTCTGTCTTTGTCTCATCAATAGTTAAAGAAGACCTACCTCCGGAGACTGGACAAAAGTCCTAAAGTTGCTCAAAAAGAAAAGTATAGAGTTAGTCTCTGCCATTGGTCAACTGGAGTATCAAAACAAGAACTCAACTTGATACAGCTCTGAAATCCCTTCTTGATTCCTCCAACCTGCATCCCAAAGATAGCACTTCCAACCTCATCGGAGAGTAATAGGGCACAGCGCTCGGCCAAACGCTTTTGATCGGCTTCGTCGAAGAAATGGAAGAGTTGATTCAAACTCATCATGTTCACCTTCCCCTTTAGAGGATTGAGGTCCTTCAATGAACGAAGATCGATCGACTCAGCAGACCCAAATTCGGCTGGAGTCGAAACATCCAGCACTTCTGGCTGAAGGATGTTTCCTATGAAGTTTGGTACCGGGAGGTTACGGTCTCGGAATAGCTTATACCCCAGAGCACTCCATTCTAAACAAGATCAAAATCATCGATTTAGTTGTTTGATGTTATCTTTAGATGAAAAATTACTGAAAAAAATCAGTCATCATTATAAGCGTACCGCTGTTTACGTCCACCCCCAAAACATCGTCGCGTTTCCATCCATGATGAATGAGCAGCCTCAAATCATTGCCCACTAAAGACAAATCGTTCGAGAGTAAGTGCCCATCCAAGTATTGCACAAACAGAAAACTACTTACTGCCTGCCCCAATGTCAACGAAGATCCTGCGAGTTGTTAATTTTTCTTTGATCGCTTTTAGCACCTCCGGAAAAAAGGGGTGTCGGGCTATCATTCCCTGCAAGAAATGAAAGCCTTTTTTTGGTGCGCTAGTGTCAGGACTACTTGGAGAATGAAGAGCCGAACCTCCGGCCACGAGTTCGGAAAATCGTTAGCACTCACACAGGACACATGGAAAGGGGAAAGTCTTGCAAGCTTCGGCTCGGATCTCAAACAGAAGAGCCTTCAACTCTTGAGGATCTTGAATTCCGGTCGCCGCTTGGTAAAACTTGAGTTCCTCGCTCATGCGTGGATCATCGAGTGGATAAGCTGCACCGATCCCGTCTGCGGAGGCTGGCATCTCTAACATTCCAGCCCCAAATTGATCCATCGCGATGTGCGACTTCTGGCTTTGCTGAGGTTCAAACATTGTGGTAGTACTAGAATCGAATCGCTGGGGGACTTAGAATAAAGAGGTGAATCTTGTACTGGATAAGTGACTTCGCATAGGACTATCGAGCCCTCTAGTCTCAGTAGGAGAGCGCTCTTAAATACAACATGCCGTCCAGATGAAGCCCACCCTTGAGCGGTTTTCCATCCTCAGGCAAAGCCTTTGGTGTTACAATTTTGGAAAAACGAGCGTGCAGAGACATCATGTGAGCAACATGTGGAAGGACAGCGGGTAGCTACGTTCGATCGCAAAGGCCAGACGACCTGCATTCTTAGCATCAGTATCGAAGGAAGGAATATTGGTTTTAGGTGTCCATATATGACCATCGCCTGACCTGATTCATGGCTCAGCTAGATTCAACATTCCTTTTTCAGATCAGGACCACTAAGCGGAAACCATCCGTCGCTTCTGCACTCTCATCGCACTTCCTTAACACCCGGAAAAGTCAGCCTTACTGGCTTATGCAAAACATGGCACCCTCTTCCTTTCTCAGTTCCATTACGTCTATGGGTAAGCTCGCCAAGAGACCCTGTTGCAAATTTGGGGGGTCCTCAAGGCTTGACTCATGTGAAGTACAATGTATGACGTTGGTGGAGAACAAAGCGCGTCTGAATGTCGCAAACCGTACCCTGCGGCAAAAGACGCGAAGGTAAATGCAGCAAAGCCGGCCTGTTGGCTATTACGCGGGTACAGTGTCGAATAATTGTTAGGGTTTGACCAGTGGGTGCGCTCGTACCGATTGAGCCGAGGTATGTATTTGAGCAAAGCACCGAATGGGGTACTCCCTTGCCTCACCCACTCACTTATGCCTGGTGCTGAGCTGGTCGGGGTGGGGGTGTTTTTTGGCATCTTTAGCTTCACCACGATGTAAATAAATAAAGTTGTAGGAATGTAGATTTCGTAAGTATGGGATCAGGTCCTCGGGATATACCACACCTGGATAAAACCTGATGAATCGCTTCGAGTTAATACAAGGCTGCATCCCTCTCCCCGTGCCGGTGCAGACCGGTCCAGCAATGATATCTTCGGCGGCTCGGTAAGTCTCATTCATCGGTCAAGACTTATCATCCTCGGTGGGCTGCTGCAGGTCATGCCAGCTTGGTGGCAAGGGAGGGCTGAATGAGGTGGATGATCTCCAAGGCTCCAATGCCAGCCCCGCGCTGCGGACGTTTTCAAGCCTCTCTTGAATCTTCGTCGGTCGGGCCATATTGGACTCGGAGTGGGATATTGGAGAAATTGGAAAACTCGAGGGAAGCCACAGGATGTCTGATTCGAAATGGAAAACAAGCCCAAGCTCAACAAGTGGTCAGTAAAGATTTATGTAAAACTTCCGTCCAATCGACTAAGTGAAACCTAATCTGATGGGGAACTTTCATCTGTTTTAACAGGCATCCTCATCGACGCTTTGCAATCTCTCCATCTCTGCTTGGCCGATGCCATTCTGCAGTATCCCCAGATCAGAAGATGGGCATCGATTAACTAGACGAGGTCATCGAACTTTTGAATTGGGTGATCTCCAGGATCTCCCGTCGTTAAAGAACCAACTTGTCTCTTACTAGCATTTGACATAAACGACAGCATAAATATCCAACCCGGAC